CTAGACTACCATACCACCCCATTTTCAGTTGTGACCTTGTTCACATTTTGAGTTGCCATATACTGAAGCGATGTCTGATGTGGTTAAACAGGTGTGTCCTTGACAATGTGGGACATGGATCTAGTCACAGTGGCCAGGTGTCTGATGTAGATAAATAATTTTGTATGTGCAGCTAGATTCCTAACAATGTTGGACATTGATCTAGCAACAAGGACACAATGTCTGATGTCATTCAGTTCATATGTACAGTTATATCCCGGATGATTCTGGACACAGATCTGATTACAGTGACACGATGTTCTATGTTATTAAAACCGTATGTACAGTTATATCTCGGATGATTCTAGACACAGATCTGATTACAGTGACACGATGTTCTATGTTATTAAAACCGTATGTACAGTTATATCCCGGATGATTCTAGACACAGATCTGATTACAGTGACACGATGTTCTATGTTATTAAAACCGTATGTACAGTTATATCCCAGATGATTCTAGACACAGATCTGATTACAGTGACACGATGTTCTATGTTATTAAAACCATATGTACAGTTATATCCCGGATGATTCTAGACACAGATCTGATTACAGTGACACGATGTTCTATGTTATTAAAACCGTATGTACAGTTATATCCCGGATGATTCTAGACACAGATCTGATTACAGTGACACGATGTTCTATGTTATTAAAACCGTATGTACAGTTATATCCCAGATGATTCTAGACACAGATCTGATTACAGTGACACGATGTTCTATGTTATTAAAACCGTATGTACAGTTATATCCCGGATGATGATTCTAGACACAGATCTGATTACAGTGACACGATGTTCAGTGACATCGATGTTATATGTTATTAAAACCGGTATGTACAGTTATTAATGACTGTATGTACAATAACATCCCTGACAATTCTAGACATAGATCTGATCACAGTGAATGGATGTTCTATGTTATTCTAAACCTGTTCTATGTTATTAAAACGTCCCTGACAATTCTAGACATAGATCTGATCGCAGTAAGTGGATGTTCTATGTTATTAAAACTGTATGTACAGTTACGTCCCTGACAATTCTAGACAGATCTGATTACAGTGACACAATGTTCTATGTTATTAAAACCGTATGTACAGTTACATCCCTGATAATTCTAGACACAGATCTGATTACAGTGACACAATGTTCTATGTTATTAAAACCGTATGTACAATCACATCCCTGATAATTCTAGACACAGATCTGATTACAGTGACACAATGCTCGATGTTATTAAAACCGTATGTACAATCACATCCCTGATAATTCTAGACACAGATCTGATTACAGTGACACAATGTTCTATGTTATTAAAACCGTATGTACAGTTATATCCCTGATAATTCTAGACACAGATCTGATTACAGTGACACAATGCTCGATGTTATTAAAACCGTATGTACAGTTATATCCCGGATGATTCTAGACACAGATCTGATTACAGTGACACAATGCTCGATGTTATTAAAACTGTATGTACAATTACATCCCTGATAATTCTAGACACAGATCTGATTACAGTGACACAATGCTCGGTGTTCTTAAAACCGCATTTACAGTTACATCTCTGACAATTCTAGACACAGATCTGATCACAGTGCCTGGATATTCGATGTTATTCAAACTGTATGTACAGTTACGTCCCTGACAGTGTCAGACATGGATCTGGCTACAGTGACAAGATGATGGATGTGATTAAATTAATTTATATGTGCAGCTACAACCCTATCAAAGGCTGAATGAGGGGAGGAAGTAAAAACGGACATTACAAGTGTAGGAGAGAATGAACATATTGACTTTAGCGACCAATTCAAGTAGAAATCTTGAATCAATTCTTTTTCATCGTACTTAATGGAGGCGCTTGGGAGTAATTAGTTAAAGTAGGAAGTTTCACTCTAGATATATTTTTATGGACATGATTAATCAACATCAGAATTGAATAGGATTTCATCTGCGAGAATACTGAAAAGTATTTTTAACATCAGGAAGTGTTTTTAATGAAATATTTTTATTGTGATTTTGGCAAACTGGTAAATGCAGCATCGCAAGGTTAGGATGCTCTTGTTGGACATAAACGTGGATGTTCATCATTTGCAGAGCATTCATTGATGAAGATTATGCTGAAATGTTTCTGGTCTATATAGCAGGGGGAAATAGAATAACAGTTAGGTCACGCTGCTTAGCACTGGTAGGTTGAAATGGGAGAAAAATTAGTTTTATATCCAAATCTTTTTAGCCTGCACTGTGTTGGTTTGTTTTTAAACCATTTAATGTTGCGACGATCAAGGATAGGAATAATATTTAGGTGGGTGTTTGAGTGAGAGTGAGTGAGTGAGTGAGTGGGTGGGTGAGTGAGCTTGTGAGTCTTGAAGTGATTATGAGCGAAGAGCAGTGATTATGATGTCTTGAGGTGCTGTGATTGTCTTGAAGAGCTGTGATTATGACAATGTCTTGAGGTACTGTGATTGTCTTGTGGTGCTGTGATTGTCTTGAGGTACTGTGATTGTCTTGTGGTGCTGTGATTGTCTTGACAATGTCTTGAGGTGCTGTGATTGTCTTGATTGTCTTGAAGAGCTGTGATTATGACAATGTCTTGAGATACTGTGATTGTCTTGTGGTGCTGTGATTGTCTTGTGGTGCTGTGATTGTCTTGGTGCTTAAGGCTGTGATTGTCTTGAAGAGCTGTGATTATGACAATGTCTTGAGAAACTGTGATCTGTTTTGTGGTGCTGTGATTGTGACAATCTTGAGGTGCTGTGGTTGTCTTGTGAACTGTGATTGTCTTGAAGAGCTGTGATTATGACAATGTCTTGAGATACTGTGATTGTCTTGAGGTGATTGTCTTGTGCTGTGATTGTCTTGTGGTGCTGCTGTGATTGTCTTGTGGTGCTGTGAGGTCTGTGATTGTCTTGTGGTGCTGTGGATTGTCTTGTGGTGCTGAAGATTAATGCTGTCTTGATGCGTATTGGCATAAAGAGCAATGTGATTGTCTTGAGATGATTCTTGACTGTCTTGTTAATGATGCTGTGATTGTCTTGTGGTGCTGTGATTGTCTTGAAGAACTGTGATTAATGACAATGTCTTGAGATGCTGTTATTGGCTTGAGGTACTGTGATTGTCTTGTCTTGTTGTTATTGGCATAAAGAGCTGTGATTGGTGCTGTGATTGTGTGGATTGTCTTGAAGTGCTGTGATTGTCTGACAATGTCTTGAGGTGCTGTGATTGTCTTGAGGTGCTGTGATTAATGATAATGTCTTTAGGTGTTGCGATTGTCTTGTGGCAGTATGATTCTCTCTTGGCACTGATTGTCTTGGCGATGCTATAAATGTCTCATACCCCTGTGACAGTAAGGAACACTTGTTAACAGATTACAAGAACGTCACCTAATCACCATTCTCTTAACATTGTAGCAACTCCCATAAATAACATAAACCCTAGAGAATCTGTTACCCTAGTAACCAAAGTTGTGACAGGGATGTGCATGCATGATCTGTTAAGTGAAAAAATCTCATTTTGAGGCCAAAGATAATTGGAGTTTTGCTCACCATGTGGAGAAAATGGGATTCATAGTCAGCTGTTCTAGTGTAAAGTCAATGTGAGCATAACGAGATTCTGTGCTTTTGGTCCTCTTTCTTCTGTTGCTGGGTTATACACTTTCCTAGACATAAACCTTCATTGTAAACCAAAAGTCACTGTGTTCTTTAATCTGATTGGTTGAAAAACGTGATCAAATGGTATTCGATTCCCGGAAATTCGCTGCGTATTAATACATACAAACATCGCTCACACCATTGTATTGTTACGTCGTCAGCTGTGATGACGTCATTCAAGTCATATTGTGACGTAAAGTCCGAATGACGTCACAAATGAGCAGTTCCAGATGCTACCATGGGAGACAGCCGTCGGTTCCAAATGAATTCCCGTGCTTCAAATACTCAATAACACCCGGAAATTGGCCAACACATGATGTTTATCTCCTAATTGAAATCTGATATTCAGCACTCACAGGTAGTCATAATTGTCCCATAATACTGAGATTTCTTAGTACAGAATGTTATCTGTAGGGTATCTCTTTCACATTGTGAGCTGGGAAAGTGTGATCTACCAAATTGGTTGGCTTGTTGTTTAACACAGCATTCAGAAATATTACAGCTATTAATAATCGGGTCTGGACCAGACAATCCAGTGATCAACAGCATGAGCATCGATCTACGCAATTGGGATATGATGACATGTGTCAACCAAGTCAGTGAGTCTGACCACCCGTTGCCTTTTAAGATTAGCATGAGTTGCTGAAGACCAGTTCTAACCTTCACGGATCCACTAAATGAGTTCTAAAAGTCACACTTGTAAACCTGGGCCCCGTTCCTCAAAGCAAACACTGTAGTTGTAAATCAATAGTTGTAACTTTAACTTACAATCACTCCACGTTCCTCAAAGCAATTGCTTTGTGACAATCACTTCCGTAAGTTGCTTTTGACCGTCTGTAACTTACTTACGATCGATTGTTGTGTATGAACAAGATGGCGGCGCCTGTTGTAATTCATAAACAAAGGTGACAGAAATTTGGCCCTGAGAGGATATTTCGAGACAGTTGTCGTTTCTTGATGTTTACAATGATGCTGAAAAATTTTCAAGGTACAGAATGATGAGGGCTTCCATTCTGAAACTGGTAAACATGGTAGAACCTGGGTTATCCTCGGAGACCCAGCGTTTACATGCACTATCCGTAGAAAGCATGGTTTTAATTACTTTGCGATATCTTGCTAAGGGTGGATTATTTTTTGTATGCTTGAAAGGGGAAGTAATTCTCACCAAACGGAAGTAATGTAAAACGCATTATTTCTAACTTTCGCGCAGAAGATCACGATTGTAAAATTACGATCGAAAGAATTACAATCACGATACTTACAATTCCCTTACAATAGCTTTGAGGAACGACAATAAATTGTTATTTACGATAATTGTAAAGTTGATCGTAGGGCTTACAACTGATTGTAGCTATGATCGCTTTGAGGAACGGGGCCCTGATTTGTTCAGGGTAGTGAACTGTTCTGAGGACCTTCCTCACCTTAGTGTCATTGCTTTGATCAGTAATGATAGTATTTTCATAATTTCATTATTTATGGCCAGGGCCCTGTTCAACAAAAGGTGATCGTAACTCCCATACTTTAACATTGACTTACGACTGTCATAGTGCTACGATCGCTTTGGGAACGGGGCCCTGAATGGGAATGCTTACATCATAGATAAGAACTATTATTGCTGTAGCTATTCACATTTGTTACAATACAGAAATGTGTACAATACAAGACACATAAGGTTACACTATTTGGGGTAAAGTTTGCAAAATTTTCATTTGTTTTCAAGCTTCTGTCATGTACATTAAAACCTTATAAGACTGGACCTCGTCTGGATTAACAGGGTTTCATTGTAGCTTGAATATTGCTGAGTAAAACACTATGACTCAAGTAGAATGTAGAATGCATAATGTCTTTCACCTTAATTATTATTGACGAACTTTACTAAGATCCAGAATTCCAATAGGTTATGCAAATACAAGTACAATTACCTCATGTCATTTTATAGTATATTTATTGCAATACGAATTGTTTAAATTCATCTCTACTTAATCATCAGACCTTTGTGATTTGTGAAGACAACATGCTTTTTGTTACTTATAATATAAAAAAGAGAAATATAGAGCTGATTACACTCATATCAACTGGATAATATGTTATTATATGTAACATACATGTGTTACAAACCATCGTTTACTGTAATGCATCATGGGACAGTGATGCAGACTAGTGTTGGGAATTGGTTAAAATATCTCATAATTGATGATTGGTTCATTACACACCGATCAATCATCCAAAATAATTGGTTTGCGTCATTTATGAAATGTTCCTGGTTACTTTTGTTTTCACAAAAACATAAAGTAAAAAACATGTAGTTCTTTTGTTTTTTTTAGCAAATTGCACATCTTTAAAGGATTACTAGTATGTTAGGAATATAAATTTCTTGGGGTCTTTAAGATAAATTCAATCATGACATGGAACGAGCTTGTAGTGTTCATGAACAGACAAAACCAACCTTGTGAAAAATAGTGTTAATGCAAAAAGTGTTCCAGAATTGTTTGTGTTCGATTATGAGAAAACATGATCGATTGCTTGGTTGTTTAGTCACTGCGATCAATCTTCGATTATTTCAATTAATCGGACCACCACTAATGCAGACTTGCCTTTGCATGTATTTGTGATGAGTGCAGTTGGTGGTCATTGTTTCATAAACACCTCGTATCATCACTGACAGTTACGCTCTTACCACGGTATGGTATTGCGGTACAAAGCTTTCGGTTCGGTATGTGAGAACTTACTTCCAGGGAAAATAGCAGCCATCCAGCAAAGAACTGCATAGATTTTAACAAAATCATTCAATTTCTAGACATTTTAGAAAAGGTTTTAAAAGGTTAATAAAATGACAGTATGAAAACCAAAAATACCAAATTTTTGGATTGCATTACAATATACCGAACCGAAGGCAAAATACCTCAGTTCTACTAATACTGTGGTATACCGTTTCACCCCTACTGACAGTTATTCTTAAACACATACTCATGATTTAAAGTTCATAGAGTCGACTCGGTTTTGAGCAGATATTTTGTCGTGACTATGGAATATTTGTTGCTTTTGTTAGAGTGGGACGTCAGTATGAGAAATGGAGAACATTTCATAACTTCAGCAATGCAACTTATACTTAAAAAAAAAGAAGTCAAATTACAGAGTAATCCCACCAAGAAATAAATCAAAATGTGTTACTGACATTGGATCCAGAGATTTCCTTCAGAAACTTGTCAAACTGTCGCTACCACATTTTGGGTTGTTTTACCATTGTGGTTTTTGTTGATTCATGACTTGATTCAAGTGTACATTACTTCTTGTACTGAGCCCTCTGACTCATGCTGACTTGTATGGCGTTGGTGTTCTTCTTGAAGATTGGTTCTTGAACCAGTCATCTTCTTGAACCTGGGTTCATGAGCATCTTTTTGAACCTGGGTTCTTAAGCTTATCATCTTCTTGAACCTGGGTTCGTGAGCCAATCACCTTCTTGAATGTGGGTTCTTGAGCCAATCATCTTGAACGTGGGTTCTTGAGCCAATCATATTCTTTAACCTGGGTTCTTGAGACAATCATCTTCTTCAACTGGGTTCTTGAGCCAATCACCTTGAACCTGGATTATTGAGCCAATCATGTTCTTAAACCTGGATTCTTGCACCAATTATATTTGTGAACCTGGGTTCTTGAGCCAATCATCTTCTTTAACCTGGGTTCATGAGCCAATCATCTTGCACCTAGGCTCTTGAGCCAATAATCTTCTTGAACCAATCATCTTGAAGCAAGGGAAATAACTGACTTTATAAACTGCCAGTGACGTCACTCTATTGTTCTTGCAAGGCAGTATTTCTAGTCATATCCCGATGGCCCGTCGATTAGGGGGGCATTACTTAAATATTGTCCCTCTGCCCTGGGATATAACTTCAATATTGTCCCTCTGCCCCAGGATATTGCTTCAATATTGTCCCTCTGCCCCGGGGATATTACTTCAATATTACTTGTTTTGAAGATTCATATAACTGTGTCTTGCAATCACTGAATGCGATCGTAAAATATCACATTATTGAAAACTTCCAACATATAGTGCCGATATCTGGTTTCGAACCTGCAACCCTTCGCTTACTGGCTTGGCAGTTTTATCCACTAGGCTACGAAGGATCGCTGTGAAGAATGAGATTGTTTGTCAGCATGAACCGTGTGTTCCTCACAAGACGGGTAGTGCATGCAGAGCACGTGCAAGGCAAGGTTTTGGGTGGCAGTCTCACCCCAGTTGATTTCAACAATAAATACCAAATATTGAAATTACATCTTCGGTCGGTTTATAAGTTGGATATAACATGGCCCTCTTCCATCGGGAAAGGCCCGTGGGCCTCCGGGCCTGGGGCATTTCTCTTCGGGAAGTCAGCTTACTTTTCAATAATGCCCGCGGGTCATGTTATATCCTACACATAAAAATCCATTTTCCACCTTTGTCAAACCAGGCTATTATATATATTTCTGAGTCTACACTTTTTATTTAAATCAAATGCTTGTTATATGAAAGATGGCATCGACTGGTCAATTGAAGGGATATAGGCAGGGAATAGCCAATAATGGCCACTGTTGACACTGGAATCGAGCTATGAAATTTCCAGCCTAGATCCTGGTGGAAACTGGACTTTTATAGACAGTTACCTCCCTTGCCCCATAAATATACAAAACTAATCAGATCACAGGTTTAAAAAACCCATTCAGTACACACTTTTCAATGTAGATGAATGGCACTCAGAAATTACAAGATGTATAAAATATCAAAAATGAAATGATGGTGTGGCTTCATTTTGCATTTGGAACTTCACACTTGGATATTTTGACAGTAGGAAACAAATCCATATGCTTGTCCTCATACTCCTCTCACATGTGTCAAGAATTAAGGAGTGTTGATGCAAATACATTGATTGTAGAAGTTCGCTTGCCACCACCTTTGGCGATGCCTTCAGATAGATCTTCAGAAGAATTGTATCAGAATGAAAGATGATCAACATGAGATTGGTATGCTACTGCCGTGACTGTTTCAGCCATACCTCCATCACCTATATATCTTGTAGCCCAACCAGCACTTCAGTTACACAAACATCAACAACTGTCATCCGAGTTATAATGCCAACACCATTTAGTTTGACAACATAAATCAAATCCGTTTTATTCTGACATTGATGCTAGTGTAATCCTATTGTGGATCATTGTTACATGATATTTGCATGGCTTGAATGTCAGTGTGGGATAAAGCCACCAGCCTAGATGGCTGACACAAGTACACTGACATTTGAGAAATTCTTATGACATGGAATACATAGATAAAATGTCATACTAGTGCATTTGGATGTTTTGTATAAAATGAGAGATGTCATGGTAACAGACAAACATTTAAATGCACTAGTATGACATTCTATATATATTATATACCCTCTTTTCTTGCATTAATCTGTTACTTAATAAAACAAATCAGAAAGTGCTGAGCTTTGGAGAAACATTTATTCATGCGATAAGAATAACATTAGATAGAACACCATTTTATTATATACCCATGTAAACTTAGGATAGTAATACAGGGGTTCAATACGGAATGTGGGGTGCAATACGGAATTTGATTTAAATAGAACACCATTTTATTATATACCCATGTAAACTTAGGATAGTAATACAGGGTTCAATACGGAATGTGGGGTGCAATACGGAATTTGATTTAAATAGAACACCATTTTATTATATACCCATGTAAACTTTGGATAGTAATACAGGGGTTCAATACGGAATGTGGGGTGCAATACGGAATTTGACCACATCATCCGTATTGCACCCCTGGATTACTATCCTAAGTTTACATGGGTATATAATAAAATGGTGTTCTATCTAATGTTATTGTTATCATATGAACAAACGAATGAATGTTGTTTTAAGTAGTACTATTGCATCTGCATGACTTGGACTTGTAAATGATTAAAGCCAGACCGAACAATCAAGTGATTGATATTAAGAGCAATGATTGACAACGCTATGTGTGATGACATGGTATGAACCAATACATATTACTGACAAAACTTACGTGAATTAAACTGAAATTATAATGAAGGTTTAATGACAATGAGTGTCACTACAATTTAGTAACATTACACCTTTTGACTTCCGAACATGTGAGCATTATCTTTGGCTTGCCATGAATAGGTTCAGGGTACTCCCTCTTTTGGAGCCACAATGTGTAATATTGTCTGTTCACTGAGACACCACAGAGGTGTTCTCAAGCATATGCTAAGCTCAGTTTCATTAGTGAGTGAGTGAGTTTAGTTTTACGCCGCTTTTAGCAATATTCCAGCTATGTGACGGCGAGGGACACCAGAAATGGGCTTCACAAACTACCCATGTGGGGATCGAACCTAGCTGGGTCTTTGGCGTGATGAGCGAACGCTGTAACCACTAGGCTACCCCACGAGGCTCACACACATTTGCATGTGTGCGTTGATTGATACTTGATGTATAATGTCTTATGAAATTGTGTTTAGATATATGCCATTATATTGTGGACGTACTCCTCAATGATATCTACATTCAGATCATTACTTCCAATGTTTTGTCGGGGCGGTGGGGTAGCCTGGTGGTTAGAGCATTTGCTCATCACACCGAAGACCCAGGTCCGATTCCCCACATGGGTGCAATGTGTGAAGCCCATTTCTGGTGTCCCCACCCTGATATTGCTGGAATATTGCTAAAAGCGGCGTAAAACTAAACTCACTCACTCACCCATGTTTTGTCAGTGTTGTAAATATATAGGCATTCTCCCACCACATACCAGGACCAGGATGTGTTAACGATGTATTCTTCATGTCTTTCAGGTTGTCCAAGAGTATGAAAGAGCTGTGATCTTCCGACTGGGTCGTCTATTGTCTGGAGGAGCCAAGGGGCCAGGTAAAGTATTGCACGATATCTCTTCCATGTGTACATTCTCTCTCTGACAGTAGAGTTTGTTATAAGGAGCAGGGATTTATAGCTCACCCGAATAAGAGTCAACTGTAATTGTGGTCTGTTTTGCAGAGATTTGGGTTATGTATTTTGTATCATCCCCCTTTTTCACCAATGTAATGTATTCAATTCTATTTAACAAATAAGGTGAACTACTGAACCTTGTGGGCTCAATTTTACTGAAGCTATATTATATTTAATGTAAATATTTCATCACATACTGTTATTTGCAAGTCCAGACAAATGTCTTTATAGTGCCAGCTAACTTAGATGGCACCTTCACAGTTTTAACTAGAATACCCTACCCAGACACAGTACACTGACTCCTAAATCCTTCGAGCAAGGCAGGGCAACAATAAGTACCATCTTGATTTGTCTTTTGGCATGACATCACCCTGGTTCAGACCACAAACATGTGCTTTTAAGGCAGATGCTATATAATCTATATCACATCTTATATCTGCAATCCTTCATAAAAGAATGAATATCATGACTGTAAAATTGAACTTCACTAAACAAACATTGCCATGTCCTCTGGCATTTTCAGTCTTAACTGTGAACCAAATTATTAGCTGTATTTGACTGAAGTTTATGTTTTTCAGGAATAATAAAGATACACAATATTTATGTTTCATCTGTACATGTTTTACAGATCTTAAAAAAATAAATACTTGTGAAAAAATTACAAATAGTAGTTCTGGCAAATATAAATTCTGAGAAACTGCTTTTTATCAATGGATATTTGAGATACTCAGTTTTTATTGAAGCAGAATGAAATATTGTCATGGTTGTTACTACAGGACAGGTTACAGATAATGGGATAATGTCTGTTTTTAACATTAGGGCAAAAATATTTTGTTAGGTTTCTTTGGCCTTGAGGTTAACAGGTTCCTATCAAAGTTTGAAACAAAACCACTGAATAAGAAATCAATAAAATATCATTTTCCGTAAAGTGTCGGTATAAGCTATAACTTCCTGTACTCATGAGTGGAATGTAAGGAACAACACATCTCTTGTGTCGGTATAAGCTATAACTTCCTGTACTCATGAGTGGAATGTAAGGAACAACACATCTCTTGTGTCGGTATAAGCTATAACTTCCTGTACTCATGAGTGGAATGTAAGGAACAACACATCTCTTGACGTGTCGGGAGGCTTGTGAGTGTGAAAATGGAAATCTATTGTTTTGATTAAATACTTTCCTTTGATTTTGGATTCTGTTGAAATCCTACTTCAAATAACATTTACAATATTGACCTTTAAAAGAACATTCATTGACTGCATAGTAAACTAAGCAGAGTTGCATGCCTTGGCAGTACTAGGATGCTGTGATCATAGATTCAAATCCCAGATTTGTCAATCAAGGTCTTCCTGATAATGTTGGTTTGACCTAAGTTTTGAATGTGTATGAATTACCTCCTAAAAGAAGCAGACCACTGATAGATATGAAATACCATTAAAACTCTTACTCAACTCTCTGTACAACCATGGCACTCCATGTCGACTAACATGAAAATCAATCTATTAAGTTAATAAATCTGACATTTTTAACTAAATGTTGTTGTTTTTCTCTCGCAGGAATATTTTTTGTGCTGCCTTGCATAGAACAGTACACCAAAGTGGATTTAAGAACAATATCATTTGACGTTCCCCCTCAAGAGGTAAGCAAGAAGATATGCTTAATGTTCGTGTTTTATTTCTCCTGGGATTTTTTCCTTATTCGATATAGCAGTAGAGTGAATGATTTATATTGGTTTTCATGTCTGAGGTCTGTATTACTGTTTAACTTTTGCCGTTTTGAAGGAGAAAATACTCAGTTTCACTTTGAGATGACATTTAAAGAAGTGTGTGAATCAGTGCTTGTAGGAAAATCTGGAAGGTTCTACCAAAACTTCTGAAAGTTTCCAGTTGTATCTGTATGTGAGTGTTGAAAGTTGCATGTACTGCAGATGCAATTGCTAGTTGTTGATGCTGTAGGTACTGAGAGGTGGAGGTCATCGTTAGATACGCCGCTTTTAGCAATATTCCAGCAATATCACGGCGGGGGACACCAGAAATGGGCTTAACACATTGTGCCCATCATCGTTAGATGAGGCTGAACTTGATAGAAACATGTAATAAATTATGGGATAATGCCACCTTTACAACAATATCAAGGTCAATCAATCAATCAATTGATCACCCACCCACTCACTCACTCTTGCCCACCCACTCACTCACTCCAAACATAGATCCTAAATATCATGCATGCATGTCATATGTTTTCTTCTCGGAAATCATTGCCTAATGTTTTCTGGTTTTCTTTGAGTCTTTACAGTTTTGACTTTGACATTACATGTTTATTTAGGAATGTTTTTACAGAAAGAACCCTTGGTGATTTGTTGGGGAGACTGCTTGCCAACACATCAGTGGCAGGAGGCCACTTGTAGAACACTTTCACAATGTATGTTTTCACTTTTCAGAGATGGCAGAGATATGAAAAAGACATTAATGATCAAGATATGTCAACAATATGCTCAATCATCTTTCTCCTTTTCAAACAAGGTTGTGTTTCAGTGTGCTAATTGTTTCCGCTGGTAGCGAAGGATAAATCAAAACATCACCAATTTGCTAATGATAAAGCATTGGTACTGACAAGGAATGACTTCTTTACTCAATAATTCATAACTAAGGCCAAAGGTTGCTGTTACCACATAACTGGGCAGGACATTGGTGCCAAAACATAGCATAGTTCCTGGAATTGCTTCTCACTGACCTAGCCTTTTTATATTCTATTGGTTCATTAGCCAATCAATGACTTGGCACTCTCAAACAAGAATTATGCAGTCTTATATTACATGGTTGATGCAGGGCTGAGTCCAGTAATTTGTTTTGAGTAGTAAATAATGGTGTCTTTCCCTGTAGTCTTCGGCGTACGATATTGACTCTGGGATTCTTGTAACTGATCATTATATGTCTGGAATTGTGCGGTTTGTCTGATCTTGTATGTCAGATGAGCACATTGGTCAATATCAACTATCTGCTTGCATCTGCATCACTGACTGTTGGATGGGTGTTAAATCAAAGGAGGCCCTGGAAGACAATAGCTGCCACTGCCACTTTCTACATTGGTGGAATGGTATTTAGGTTTCTTTTGACACCTGGTGTCATCTTTGATTTTCATTGATCCAGAAATACATTTTTCACAGTTATTTTACATTTTGGGTCAATGCCATCTGTTTCATGGGAAAAGCAAGACTTTTATGTTTAGCAACGAAAGTGAATGAACAATACAGATACATAAAATACTGCCCTAAGGTTTGATGCTTGAGAAGCAGTTCCTGTTTATTTCTCACCTTAGAAATATACTGAATCTTCATTTGTAACTACTCGTGTCATTCCGGCAAGCCGGAGCGGAAGCGTCTCGCGGCTCATTGCCATGTTTACGACTAGGCCCTAACTAAGCACAAATGGGCATGTAGATGAAAATAGTCTAGTACTATCACCAAGGAAAGATAACTCTGAATTTTCAAACATGGCTCTAGAATATCCTACATCCCATGGGCAAAACAGCCAGTCATTCCTTTTTAAATATGTGTAAGTGTTTAAAGTTTCTGATCCTTTAGCTCAAAGTTTATTATTAATTTGTGCTGTGCATAGTTTACCGAAGTTTCAAACTTCAGCGGTGCCGCCATTTTCATGCTTGAAATGTGTTTACTATGCGATTTGAGTCTTCTTGTAGGTCCAGATAGAAATTAGAAAAGAGGAGGAGAAGTAGTTACAAATGACTGAATCTTATGCTAGTGTCAAAATTTAATGCAAGGATCAGACTGCATTATTTCCAGACGCCGCCATATACTGGAATATTGCTGAGTGTGGCGACTAAACAAAACAAAACGAAAAAGTCAAGGATCACATATGTAATGTTAACAGTTACATTGTATTCATTTCCATAATACCTATTTTCTTGTTTTTGTTTGTAAACTAACATATTAATGAAATATATTTGAAGACTGAAGATGAATGATAGTGTGATACTTAGAATACATGGATTCGTTAAAATTATTCAGTATGAAGAATAATGACTATTACAATTTGTTCTAAGAGTTCGTCTGGACAGGACACAATTGTGTTAGTTGCCTGAATTTGTTCTTAAAGGGCACCTGCTTCCTGCTGGTCACTACAGAACGTCCAGCAGAGCTCCAGATAAGATATAGCTCATGTGGGTACTGTACCGACTGTATTTTATTAGGTGGGTATTATGAATGTTGAGTGGGTATTTCATTTTTTCCGTTACCCTCTGCTTTCCAATATGCGTATTTCAGTCATTTTACTCACCTAAGTATTATTTCATTGAGTAAGTTTACTAAGCAGGTATGTTCTGCCTTATGTCATACCTAATCAAAACCAACTGAAATATAATGGAAATGATTCATAAAAAATCCCACATCCTATACTGACAGTACAGCACTAGTCCTATACAAACAGTACAACTTGATAGCAATCGATGTCTTTTTTCATTACGCAAGCGATTTTTATAAATATATTGCGTGCGCATTTGTTTTAAACTTTGTGCGTATCTAACATTTTAAATGCGTAATTTGTACTCAACAATTATTTTTCAATGCGTAATTGGAAATTTTCTATGCATATTTTACGAGGATACGCAGCTTATCTGGGCCTCTGTCCAGTCTAGACCTTGGCTGCAGGGGATATAAAACTCGTATCTACCGCTATTATTTCTCTAGTAGTGTGGTATATCTACCATTCTTTGGTAGCATAAAATTGGATGTATTATTCTTCAGTTGCATAATATGCCATTCACATATACCATTTTCAATAGTGTTGTATAGAATTATTATATACAATTAGTGGTATACAGTCGTGCCCGTTTATCCGGACACTTGTGTTTTTCTTGAAATTGTCCGGATAAACAAATTTCCGGATATCTGAACCAAGGACCATATGTAAAAAGACATACAAAGAAACGAACATAATAGACCTCAGACGTAATCTTTATTGATAAGACATCTACAAATAACAGTGCATACATAAAATCACATCTTGTCAAATAAAGTAGTCAATTCAATAACACGTGCGAACATACCTGTACATGCATCTGTCTGTCAAATGCTAGCGACCAATCTCGAAACAGTTCTGATGTCATCCACGCGTTCGCATTGTGACTGAACCTAACATAAACTTCCTGATTAAAGTCACTACCAAAACAACGGGGACGCTTTGCCAATCACAACTCTAAATTAACTCAGTGCCACCTTGCTAATTACAGGTAGTTAATCATCTCATGCTTCAAAGACTGCCGACTTCTTTTATGTTAGGGCGCAAGGCCACTCTGTAAAGTGCGTGTGCAAACATGGTGACAGGTGCTAAGCCATCCAGATATATGAGAAAAAAATGCATATAATTTAGTGTTTTGTATGTGAAAATGACCGTCCGGTTACGGAAAACGGATTTCCAGATAAGTGAGTAATTTTACAACATTGTGCTTTCGTTTTGAGGAATTTTTGTTCGGAAGGCGAGTTTTCCGGATATCTGAGGTTCGGATAAACGGGGCACGACTGTAAAAGATTTCACTGACAGCTACTGAAATTGTTTTACAGTAAAACTTTTCATTAAGTGTTCTTGAACTATGTTGGAGTGTAAACGTACTTTGTATCTGAATTTCTTGTTCATACTCTTCATTTTGTGCAAATAAGGTTTAAATCAGCCTCGCCTCTATCATTACTGCCCACCCAGCTGACATGGTGAAACATTCCAACAATGGTGAGCCTGAATTAAGCCATAGTACGATCATCCCAAAATATCAGTAACAATTTGGTTACTTTTACTTATATGTTTTGTTTAAATACATATCTAACCATATTGTTGTATTGAAATAAACTACAAAATAGATAAAAACTTAACCAATAATGAAATTACATTACCAAAATTTAGACGCCCTCAGTCAGTTGCCCATGTGACCCAACATGTGACATCTTGGTAATTGGCAAGCCCGAAATCAATTCCCTTTGATTTTCCTTCTGTTGGTAAAGGTATGTATTGGAGACTATTGATCCAACACACCCATAGTTAAACAAAACTAAGCTTTTCAATTTAAACATGATAATTTGCAGTACCTAAAACCAGCATGTACTGTATGATCACCAGTTTGGTGTCTCACTGTGTCAACACACAAGATGGTGTCATGTGCTGGAGCTCTACATATCCAAGCAACCGAAGACAAACACGTTTTTTTTTAGCGGTGTTGATGATCATGCTCGGTTCAGGATTGCCATAGGGTGTAATTTGTATAATATACATTATCATTGATTAGGAGAGTTTTTCATGTATTTTTGTTGGAGAGGGGGGAGTTGTTTTGAAGCTTTACAGACAGCAACAAATGCAGCATTTAAGAGTGTACAAACTGAGTGAAATTGTTGGTTAACAGTAAGTCTGGTAAATCTTGTATTGGTCCTTTGATGGTCCTGTGGCGCTGTTGGCTCCCTGTTTCCCCTGACCAGCTCTGGTTCTTGGTGATGTTAAGGTGATCTGTGGTTGGTTTGTGCTGGTGAGGTGGGGTAGGCCAGGAGGTAAGACAGTTTCTCATTATGAAGAAGTTTTGGTTCAATGCCCCAGATTGGTACTATTTGTGTAGCCCATTTCTGGTGCTGTGATATTGCTGGAATATTGGTAAATTCAGTGTTAAACCAGACTCTTTCGCTTGTTCCTACCCAGGGTTAGTTACAGTAAAATACTAAATCCCACTAGTCTAAGCCAAGGTAAGTTATATTCTGTCTAATAAGTTCAACTGCTAATTACTAGTGTCAATGTCTACTCATAATTGTGATATTGTAATGTTAAAGTCAGCTGAAATTGTTGCCCAAAGACAAGATTTGACCATGTGTTAATATCTAAGTGTGATATTTTAATGCTAAAGTCAATATTATAAAAAAAACTCCAGGATTTTACCAAAAGAAAACTGGCAGAAGCAGTTCAAATCCGCCGACATGTCATCAATGAACAGAGACCAAGGATATCTCATTCCATCTGCATACAATGAACTGATAAAAACAACAGAAGCACAGCACTCCAGCTATCATTGCTAATTAATCTTTTTAATTAATCCATTAATTTTATTTTGGCCTCATTAACAGTTGGCTTCCTCCTATTGCTACTGCATTATTACCAATATTGATGGTTTCTGTTAATCCCTTAAATATATACCTACTGTCTGTAAGACTGTAAGTACTTCGCTCTTGCTTGACAACAGTGTAAGACCTATACCGAAACATTGCATCATAATATAATAGAGAAGCTGTCATCCATGAAGTATCTTACCTTTCTTATCAACTGAAATTGTTGCCCAAAGACAATATTTGACTTATTTTTTGCTCTGATCATGATTGTATTAATACAGAAAAAATTGATCCCTAAATATAAGTAAGTAAGTGAGTATGTTTATAAGCCATATTCAGCAATATTCCTGCAATATCACAGCAGGGGAGCCCAGAAATGGGCTTCACACTGTACCCATTTGGGGATTCAAACCTTGGTCTTCAGCTTGATGAGTAAATGCTCAGGGTTACTTCCACTCCATCTTCAAAAATGTAGAAATGGGACATGTGAGTGAGTGAGTTTAGTTTTACGCCGCACTCAGCAATATTCCAGCTATATGACGGAGGTCTGTGAATAATCGAGTCTGGACCAGACAATCCCGTGATGAACAGCATGAGCATCAGTCTGCGCAATTGGGAACCGATGACATGTGTCAACCAAGTCAGCGAGCCTGACCAGCCGATCCCATTAGTTGCCTCATACAACAAGCATGGGTTACTGAAGATCAATATTCTAACCCGCACCTTCACGGGTCAAATAGGACATGTTAATTAAACACACAGTGTGTGTCATGATTGTCATGTAAGTACCCTGTTATCTTTCTGGAATATTGCTTAGACTGTGTTACACATCAAAGTAGAAACATGATGTAAGTGACACGTTTGTTCTCATATTCCGCTGATAATGACTACTGCAGTGTTTTCTGTCTCATGTTACCTCTGTCTGTCTGATATGTATCGTAGGATACTCCTGGACAGAAAAACAACATTACACACTTGTGTTTTGGGAGGGCATAGCTCATGCCAATTACACGCTTTGCAGAAACATCCCAGAGTGGAGTCTCCAGGAAGTGGTTAAATATAACTCACAGCATGATGCCACATGATCAGCTCAATGCTGTATACCATGGGTATGGGTGTTATAACATGGAGGTATTTTCACAAGGGTTTGACAAACACTGAAAGTAATACAAGGGTTATACCATGTTTGTGATGAACATCATACAGAGACAAACACTGAATGCAATACAAGGGTTTTGCCATGTTTGTGATGAACGCCATGCAGAGACAAACCCTGAATGTAATACAAGGGTTATACCATGTTTGTGATGAACACCATGCAGAGACAAACACTGAATGCAATACAAGGGTTATACCATGTTTGTGATGAACACCATGCAGAGACAAACACTGAATGCAATACAAGGGTTATACCATGTTTGTGATGAATACCATGCATGTTTGTGATGAATACCATGCAGAGACAAACACTGAATGAACAATACAAGGGTTATACCATGTTTGTGATGAACACCATGCAGAGACAAACACTGAATGCATGCAGAGTAATACAAGGGTTATACCATGTTTGTGATGAACACCATGCAGAGACAAACACTGAATGCAATACAAGGGTTATACCATGTTTGGGATGAACACCATACAGAGACAAACACTGAATGCAATACAAGGGTTATACCATGTTTGTGATGAACACCATGCAAGGGTTATACCATGTTTGTGATGAACAATACTGAATGTAATACAAGGGACAAACACCATGCAGAGACAAACACTGAATGCAATACAAGGGTTATAACCATGTTTGTGATGATATACCATGTTTGTGCAATACAAGGGTTATACCATGTTTGAACACCATGCAGAGACAAACAGAGACATACCATGTTTGTGATGAACACCATGCAGAGACTGAATGCAATACAAGGGTTATACCATGTTTGTGATGAACACCATACAGAGACAAACACTGAATGCAATATACAAAGGGTTATACCATGTTTTGCAATGTTATACCATGTTTGTGATGAACACCATGCAGAGACAAACTGAATGCAATACAAGGGTTATACCATGTTTGTGATGAACACCATGCAGAGACAAACACTGTGATGAATGCAATACAATGGGTTATACCATGTTTGTGATGAACACCATGCAGAGACAAACACTGAATGCAATACAAGGGTTATACCATGTTTGTGATGAACACCATGCAGAGACAAACACTGAATGCAATACAAGGGTTATACCATGTTTGTGATGAACACCATACAGAGACAAACACTGAATGCAATACAAGGGTTATACCATGTTTGTGATGAACACCATGCAGAGACAAATACTGAAAGCAATACAAGGGTTATACCATGTTTGTGATGAACACCATGCAGAGACAAACACTGAATGCAATACAAGGGTTATACCATGTTTGTGATGAACACCATACAGAGACAAACACTGAATGCAATACAAGGGTTATACCATGTTTGTGATGAACACCATGCAGAGACAAATACTGAATGCAATACAAGGGTTATACATGTTTGTGATGAACACCATGCAGAGACAAACACTGAATGGAATACAAGGGTTATACCATGTTTGTGATGAGACAAACACTGAATGCAATACAAGGGTTATACCATGTTTGTGATGAACACCATGCAGAGACAAACACTGAATGCAATACAAGGGTTATACCATGTTTGTGATGAACACCATGCAGAGACAAACACTGGAATACAAGGGTTATACCATGTTTGTGATGAACACCATGCAGAGACAAACACTGGAACAAAATGAATACAAGGGTTATACCATGTTTGTGATGAACACCATGCAGAGACAAACACTGAACACCATGCAGAGACAAACACTGAATGCAATACAAGGGTTATACCATGTTTGTGATGAACACCATGCAGAGACAAACACTGAATGCAATACAAGGGTTATACCATGTTTGTGATGAACACCATACAGAGACAAACACTGAATGCACTGGAATACAAGGGTTATACCATGTTTGTGATGAACACCATGCAGAGACAAACACTGAATGCAATACAAGGGTTATACCATGTTTGTAATGAACACAATGCAGAGACAAACACTGAATGCAATACAAGGGTTATACCATGTTTGGGAAGGACAGTAATCAATGCCTACAGCCTTGTGGTGAAACTAGTCATTTGAATGATGAGTGTGGAACTTGTTAATAGTTGTTCTGGTTTCTTTCTGGGGGTAAAAACATTCGATGCAGCCTGAACCTGAGGAAATCTAGACTTGCTTCATTTAGGGCTTTAGCATTGCAGAAAGGCTTTTGACAGAAGGGAAAATAATGCGCTTCAGGACTATGTTACAGACTAATATTTTCTGGGAATGGGGACCTGTGCTGTTTTGTTAGCAAAGTAAATCACTTTGTTGACATTGTACAAAATCATAGGAGAAACGACAACATTTAGTCACTCACAAACTATAATCAGCTTCGGTTAGGCGTCACTTTTAGTTAAGCCACAAGTCATTAGTAAGATTTAGGCCCTACGTTAGCATACATTTTTTCTGCTTGAAGAAAAACACATGAATAGCAGAGAAGCTGTCAGGTTGAATGCAAAATGAAATGCAAAATCATCTCCATTTTTCTGTTTTTGTTTCAGTACTGCAATTCATGTTTTGCAAATACAAAACAGTACTGAAAATGTTTCTGCATAATTTGACATTGTTATACATGATTTTTGTAACATTTTAGTGCAGTTGATCTACATAAATGTTTTAATTAATGCTAGCAGTTTTATGAATTTGTTTTTCTAAATCTTTTACATTAAAATTAGGCTTGAAAAGTTGTTTTAAGCAAAACATTAGTACTTATTTCTTCACCCTACTATTCTTCCACCAGCACACACTGACTTGACAGTGTTAGGCAGATAATCTCCTGTGTTTAGGCAATCAACAGTTACATTAGTGTGCAGCCTGGGTTAACGCAGTTGTAACTGAGTGGACAGCCACCTTGTGATGAACACTCAAACAGACGGTGTCAGAATTACCGTTGATGCATCTGCCTGGATGGAACTGATTCCGTGCCAAGAGCAATCTTCTTTTGGCGTTAATTGAACCCAAATGAGGGAGGTTAATTACCCGAGACATAATGATTATTAAAGCGATAGACATACATGTCAGAATGAAGAGAAACTGTCAGTGAAAAATTACACTGAAATGAAATACATGTTAAGATTGTTGGAACTATGTATTCCAAGTGAATTAATTCTGTTATGTGTAAGGGCTACAGTTATTTTTTAATGGTACTGTCAAATAGTAACGTAATCTTACACAATTTCAAAGTGGATACAGGTTCCATTTGTAGGAACTATGTCTTTCAAGTGACTTTACTGTATTATGTGTTAAGGCTGCTGTATTTGTCTTAACAGTACAGTTAAACAGGAATGAAATCTTCAGAGTAGATACCTGTTCAGTTTGTAGGTACTATGTTTTTTCAAATGAATTTACTGTGTTTTGTGTTAAGGTCATAGTTATTTCTTAACAGTACAGTCAAAAGTAAAAAAGTGGAGAAATGTTTCGAAATTTCAAAGTGGCCAAGTTGTGTGTCTCCATTATATTTTGATGGATGAAACTTGAAAGGATGTTTTTGCCATTAAAAAAAAAATGTTTTGGATTAATAGTTACCTGGGGACGGAATTAACTTTATATCAGCATTTTGCCACTTGGAGTGAGTGAATAATAGATTTAAATAAGCTCAAGATGAATTCCAGTTTAGTGATTTCTGCTGCTGAGACCCGTGAGCTTTCACATAACTAAATACATCACGTTAGGATGACGCAGGTAAATTATTCAGAAGGGAGGGAGTAGACAGTGTTGTGTATTCTAGCAGAAAACTATAACTATGCTAAATATAAAGTTCAGTAAAATAATTGTATTCTGAAATCAACACAAGCGTCGTCCCACCCAATGTTGACATTGTTAATGGATGTATTACATTGCCCCTCTAAACAGCATGCCGCTCTGTCTCCTGTTGTCAGTAATGGGTTATGTGATGACAAAACATCTCATGAATAATCAACGATTACGTTTTTATTTCCAATAACGTAATGCTTACACAACTCAAATCGAAACAGAGTTACTTTTTTCATGTTATTATGCCACTTAATACTGGGAATCAAACCCAGTTTCTGAGCAGACTAAGTGAACAATGTATCCACAGTCCTAGCTGTAGCGTCATGAATATAGACAGTTCATGGCAAGGTGAATTGAAGTTAAGCAAGTGTTGATTGAGTACCTTCACTGCCTGTTTTTATCGTTGTAATAATGTGTGAAATGGTGGACAATTATCGTGAGGAATATGATTGTATATTCCCAAACTATGTTATAAATACCCAGACGGGTTGAAAAATACCATTGCCCGATGCCCGGGTCAAGTGGAATTCTACGGTCGGTCAAGTTAATATCCACATTAAACTTTACCGTGGTACAGTAGTGCCAAACTACCGAAATGTTTTGATATCTGTATTTTCATGATGAAATAAAAATGCAATTGCTACCAACTAAGGTCTGTTAGGTGTTTGGTTGTTTATAATTGATAAAGATTATTTGCAAAAGGAAACAAATTGTTAATTGTGGTCAAGTGAAATTAATCTGTGGTCAAGTGGATTTTGAAAGTTTACTGGACCTGTGTCCAGTAGAGTTTTGAAAAAAAATTCAACCCCTGCCAAATGTATATAACTCATGTAAATTTTGACACCTAAATTCATAAATATTCTACAAATCCTGTTCAGGAATCGTTCATAAGATGCATGTTTTATCTTTAATATATCTGTTTTGTGTTTTACTCTTGTACCACTGTATGTGGTTTTTGAGTGAATAAAGATTGATTGCTTGACTGAATTGAGATAATCTTGATTGAAACATGTTTTTGATATTGAGATTTTCATAATACATGTACCAGAAGGGAAATGGTACATTTAGGTAAGGAAATGGTCCAGGAGCTTGTCGTATCACCTGACATCACTCGATATCACACGCATGTCTGGAGATAATGATGCTGTCTATAGATGCTGGGGAAGGAGGCCAGATAGGGCATATATCACGTATATCATGTCTGGGATGCTCAAACAGCTTCATCAGCCAGTTCAGACATTAACTCTGTATACTCCTTTACATTGAAATGGATACTTCAGTCCATTATTTAGACCTTTTGTTAAGGGATTGTGACATTGTAGCTTATGTCAACAAAAACTGATTAAGTTCAGTTCTATAAGAAAATATTGTGTCAAAAAGTTGAGTAAATTTGTCTTTGTATCAGGTTCAAGGACTTTGGGGGTCTTTTTTTAGCTCTCATGTTAAAAAATGGTCTATAGAGATGACTTATAAAAATGTATGACTTTTGTTTGAATTCAGTTATTTACTCCAGAAAGTGTTAGGTGTTCACCACATTCATCGCTGCGCATGAGCAATTGGTCAGTTACAGAATCAATTTTTAATTAGTTTCGGTTTTCTAATGCTTATCCTTTCACCTGCATTAAAGGTATACAATGAGGTTTTCAAGTCTAAATGATTTCATCTTCATGTCCAGATGAAATCAAAAGGGGTCCAAAGACATGTTGCATTTGGCACACCAGTTCTAACTGATATTTCTGTTGTGGTTTAGAGGAAAATCAGACTTGTGTCACAAGTTGGCATAATGTTGTTACTGATATTTAACATTTTGTAATCAAATATATATGGAATGTTTATCTGTAAAGACATATTTTCTACATGTATTTTATGATCTTGATTGAGCAGACTGACTGAAATGGTAACATATAATATTGTAATTACTGTTGTATCACACAATGAGGTTAGTATGCAATCACATCAGTGCTGGTGCACTATGTGGTAGTAATCAGAGCCACCTTTTCAACAGGATCAAGGGTCGGTTAAAGCTCGCTCGCTAGCTCAGCTCACTCACTCACCCACCCACCCACCAACCCACCCTCTCTAAACCTCACTCACTCACTCACCCACCCACCCACCCACTCTAAACCTCACTCACTCACTCACTCACTCACTCTAAACCTCACTCACCCACCCACCCACCCACTCTAAACCTCACTCACTCACTCACTCACTCACAAATGACATGGAAATTAATCAGTGGAATAGTTTGTATCTTAAATTTTAGAGGGAGGTTATATAGACTGAGTTAGTTCATTGCCCAGGGTAGTTTGAAGTATAAGGGCAGCCATGCTGGCTTGGAAGAAATATTTAGACATAGGGATTAGGATGAGGTCAGAACAGAATGACAGGGACACTCTTGGGCCATGTGTCTTGGCTTATTATATGAGACTCCTTGTCTGAAATTCAGACGTATGTCCAGAGAAGTATCATCATAACATGTTTAAAGATAGACTAAGGTGCTTTGGCAAACTCTTCTACAATAACAGCATTTGGCAATACATAGCCCAGAGGAGGGGGGTCCGGAAAGGTTGGTTTATTGGCCCATATATTAGAGACGATGTATTGGACTGATGTGCCACTTCAACAGAGAGTAGTTGTTTCAGTTTGTCAACTTTATCAGAAACATACACAAAACATTTAGCGTAACATTTCAGTTTTTGTTTAATTTTTTTTTCCTGTAAAATTAGGGCATAGATAGTGGTTACAGCGTCCGCCCGGAGAGCGGAAGGTCGCGGGTTCGATCCCCGACCGCGTCATACCAAAAGACGTTAAAATATGGTACTTGTTGGTCCCTGCCTGGCGCTCGGCATTAATGGGTACGAAAAGGACTGGTCGGCTCGGAGTCAGTATAATGTGTCTGAGTGGGTATTCATGCTTCACTGCGGCATGGTATCTCAGTGGGCTAGCACTATAAAACCAGCTTAAGTCTGGGCTAGTACAAGCAGCCGCACATACACATACACACGCATGTACGTCGTCATATGAGAGAAATATTCTCAAGCACGACGTAAAACCCAGTTTCACCTCACCTCACCTCAAAGAGTCCCTGCTTGCTTTGCAGAGTTGCTTCACTTCGGCCTAACAGTAACCTCTGACTTTTGGTTCTACTTCCTGTTCAACCTGAATATGGTTCTAGGTCCGTCATCACCATACCATGTTTCATGAAGGTAGTAAACATCCAGAACTTGGGTAACTTAAGGCTTTTCTTCAGCATTAAACTGACATGATACAACAGAAACCCTTTTCAAAGCAGCCTACTCACTGTACCACTTATGGGAGAATTGAAAATTTCTATTAAACTTAATTCCTTATATTTTGACTCATACTGCCCACATGAACTGAAGCTAAATTATGAAACTTTTGCATCTTCTCAAGGAGATTCTTAGTCAAGTAAATTCAGGTTCATGATGAAATGGAAGGTTCTTGGTGTGGCAGAGCTTTCAAGCACTGAATTTGTCATGCTGACAGCAATTTCAATAATGTTTTATTCTACAGTTGTGCTTTTCATTGTCAGGGTGAAATATGAGAACAGTCAAGGGCTGTTATTTCTTGTAAGTCCCTTGAAAAGTTAATTTTGGTGGGTGGAGAACAGGGGGACCTATTAACCCCAAGGAATAGGGACATGGAATCTTTGAGTTGTTCCCCAGAGTAGGAGCAGTAATGGAACTGACTTGACTGTCAGATGTTTCAAAGTTCATGTCCCTGGTGGGAAAATATTTACATTTCCCTGACTTTGATTTTAATTCACAGATTGTGAGAAAGCAATTATTCAAAATAGCTGTATCATTATGAACCATACAGTACTGGCATTTTAGTGGCAATGAGAGATGTAGTAGTCAATATGCAGACATTCTGTAACAATGGTTACCATGGCAACAAGATTAGAAGCAGTGTATAACTTGAATATTACACAACAATGTGTAATAAATATTCCCTGAGCAGTTTCTACTTTTGGATATTATCATCCTCTCCCTAGATAGTTCCTGACATTTGAAGTTGCTGATGCAGGAAGTTCCCTCCTTGCCGACCAGCGCCATACATCATGCCTGACACGTTCACATTCATCAGGAAGATGAGCTCCTGAAATATTAGTTCCAGATTCATAATTATCAGAACTCCAAGACAGGGACCTTTGGAAAGCGGTGTCAGTTTAACAGCATAAAAAACATGGATCACAAACTGACATGTTTTATGGAAGATGTGCTTGGTTTGAACGAAGTTGGTATTATGGTGTTATTTATTATTCCCTGATTATAAAATGGTCCTGAAATGTATTGTTTGGATTGTTTTCAAATTTGGGGACCACACCCTTTGTCTAAAGGAGAGGTGCAGCGCAAATTTTACCATATTTTAATTTGTTCAGGAATTACATCATTTTAACCATTTGAACTTAAAGTTTGTTTAACCAATAACTTTAAAAGTATTGGTTAAAATGTTTTCAAATTTGGAAATCAGCTTCTTTGTCTAAGGGACAAGTTTGGTTTCCAATTTTTCTAAGTTTTGAAAGAGTTGCATCAATTTGCATATTATGAACTTATACAAAACCAAGGGGGATTTTTGTTCAACCAATAAGCAACACATCTAGATAGATTGTTTTCATATTTTGAGGATCATCTTCTATATATATAGGAAAAGTGAAGTGCAAAGTTATATTTTGATATTGTTTACAGTGGCGGATCCAGAAGGGGGGTTCAGGGGGGTTCGAACACCCCCACCCCACCCCATCCCCTTTGAAATTGACTAAAGACCACATTGAAGTTAAGGTTTAGCAATGGAAATTTCTGGATCCACCTATGGTTTATTCACTGAGAATTGTCACTAATGCCGCCTCTTGAACTATAGTATGACCAGAAATTGAGAATTTTAGGAATATGTTTAATTGGATTTCTAGTATAAACAACCTTGACCAGCTATCAAGTGCTTGGTTTCATTCAAGAGAGACAACTCCGTTAATCCTTTTTCATTAGTTTGTGAAGAGTTATCCCCCTTTGTTTACTTGCTAGCAGACGGCATTTTCAGTGATCCTCAGTATGGATGATTTAGAGAAGAGGAAGTTGATTTTAGAGTATTATAACAAGGACATCAGATCAGTTAAAGTGATTTCAAGTAGAACAGGCATCCCTTTGTCCACTGTTTATCGTGTTTTGAAAAATATTGCAAATGGATATGGCATTGAGCACCAGGGAGGCGCAGGTAGGACCAGAAAATTGACTGTCGGTGACAGGAGGCTGGCTTGGTATTCTTGTTTCTAAAAACAAACGAAGGAGTTTAGAAAACTTAAGGCTGGATATGATTGATAGAGGAACTGTGGCTGTCTGTAAGGAGACAATTAGAACTGAGCTGCATGCAATGGGTTGGCAGAAAAGTTGAGGAAATTCCATCACCGATAATGAAACCTGAACAAAAGGAGTGAAGGTTGAACTGGTGCTTACAGCATAGAAATTTTAAGCTGGGACAATGTTATTTTCTCAGATGAAAGTTCTGTGTGGCTGTTTCCTAATACACTGAAATTCTGGACCAAACAAACTGAAAAACCTTTGTATCAGCACCCAAAGTACAGTCTGAAATTTAACGTGTGGGGTGGCATATCTGTGTTAGGGGCAACGCCCCTCTGTGTATTTGAAGGGAATATGAACAGTGAGCAGTACACAGATATTCTCGAGGGACATTTACTTCCATCTGCTCACGTGTTCTATGGAAATGTTTGGATTTTCCAGCAGGACAGCGACCAAAACATCGTTCAAAGCATTCACAGGCCTGGTTTCGGACCCAAAATATGACATTATTAGATTGGCCAAGCTATAGCCCTGACCTAAATCCAATAGAAAATGTTTGGGGACTTATGAAGGACAGTGTCAATAAGAAAAATCTGACAAATATTGCTGAAATGAAAGAAGAGGTGGCCCGATATTGGGACAGCATGGACCACAACTTTCTAACTTCTTTGATCAGTAGTATGCCCTGCCGCATTGAAGCCTGCATTGCTGCCCATGGTGACTTGACAAAATACTAACTGTTCACCTGTCTTTGAATGTGGAGTTATTTAAAACGTGAGTAATGAGTGAAAAAAAAAAAGAGTACAGTCTTTAAATTCTCAATAATTTCTGGTTGTACTGTAAAGGGAAAAGTCCCACATCAAATGTGTTCAGCCAATAACTTTACAATCATTTAAAGGATGTTTTTCAGATTTGGGTAATGGATTCAATGTTATTTGGAAAGGTGCAGTGCAGAGTTTGATACAGATCTTGTCTTTTTGTCCAAAATAATAATGATTAATTGTTGTTCAGCTGAAGTTGTGCATTACGGTCATGGGAATTATTGAGCCTTACTAACATTTATGGGCCCTGTTCCAGATGTTTTATTAATCAAAATTAATGTTAAATTAACCAATATTTTACTGTTTTTAGTTTAGGCTGGGGAAAAAATACAGTCGAGACTCTTTGAATTTGACCTGTAATTATCTCCCTTTGGGAGTTTGAGTTGTGGAGAGACCCCTGAGGCAGGACGCAGTGTCCAAGAAGGGTTTTGTGGAACATGTGTAACCATTAGTGCAGAGCCAACCCGACTATATGTAGTCTGCTGTGCTATTTGCATGCTGAGTGTGTTTGGAAGAGTCTGTTTCAATGTCATTATTATTTAGAGTTATTTATGAATTGCAAGTTAGTTTTCCACTGAGAATGGCTCCTGGTCTGACATCAATGTACTTGGCTTTCACAGAAATAGTAATTATCTAACTGACTGTTGTCTATTATCGTACCCAAGTGAAAACCCAAGTTAGAATTGTTCAGCCCTGACCAAAACTTACCTGCCCACAAAATATCTTCATATGTACATGTCTAAATGTTAACCTGACTGTTGGGAAGGTGAATTTGAGAATATGGTAGTCCATGTTGAAAATAACCTGTCCCGGGTGGTTGGGCAGGCAGGTATTTCGAACGCTGCTAAAAGTAGTCCCAACACAGGTTGTTTTTGATAAATTGGTATAATTAGTTTTCATGCTTGAATCCAATTGGTCTTAAAGAGGTATCAAATATTTCCTTACACATCTTTCAAAAGTCTTTTCTTTTTGTGCTGGAAGGTATGCTTAGGTAGACAGCCTTCAATGTTCCTTTTTCTAAGACTAGTAGAGAAGATTTACGTATCGCACATGTCACCTGAGTCTGTAGCCAGTGCTGCTTCAACAAAGCAAAACATGTTTACAATGCTCACATCATCTGTGTCTTATTCAGTTACAATTTGTGAAACAATTGAACCATTTAGAAGTGTTTCAGAGTTACGATAATGGGCACCACTAGCCATTGAAGCTCACACTAGTCTGCTAGCTGGAGGCTGCTAAATTGTGTTGATGACATAAAAACTAAAGTGATGGTTGTCCTCACAGATTAGCAGTCTCTAGCTGTCAGAAAAGTGGGAGTTTGAAAGGCTGGTAGGACAGTGGGGTAGCCTTGTGGTTACAGCGTTTGCTCATCACGCTGAAGATACAGGTTCAATTCCCCATATGGGTACAATGTATGAAGCCCATTTCAGGTGTTCGTTGCTGTGATATTGCTGAAATATTCCTGAAATCAGTGTAAAACTAAAGTCACAAACCGCAAACTCAAGAACACTCCCAAAGGCTGGTAAGACAGGGGGCAGTGGGGTAGCCAAGTGGTTAAAGCGTTGGCTCGTCACGCCAAAGACCCGGGTTCGAATCCCCACATGGGTACAATGTGTGAAGCCCATTTCTGGTGTCCCCCGCTGTGATGTTGCTGGAATATTGCTAAAAGCGGCATAAAACCAAACTCAGTCAGTCAGTCAGTCAGTGGTAAGACAGATGTAAGGTTCAAGTCAAGCTTACATGTATCATGTGATGAGAAAACATCCATCAATATTTTAAATAGCATAAGGATTCACTTGGTATTTCCAGCTATGGGATGTGGTAGGCATATTGTGTAGGAAGGAAAGATTTGTTTTTAAGATTAATACTGGTATTTTTTTCAGACATTCAGAGATATTTACCTCTGTATTTGTTGCAGTTATGTAAATTCAGTCCTGAAGCCTTTTTCTCTTGGTACTTCTATTATTATCAGTTAATTTCAAGTCGGCCTTGCAAACTAAACACCCAAGGGCTATTAATTATAAACCTGAAATTGGAAATTGTTAATTGCATTTTGAGGTTTTAGTGATTGTGTAGAATATGAGCCTGTGATATATGCCTAGATTGCCTCTCTTAACTCCAAATGAATGTCATGGGGACAAGACTGTACCATGGATAGCATGTAATTGCTTACAATAAAGGATTGGGCATCTGAACACCATCTTGAGCTGAATCATGTTACTGCTCTCTGGATCTGCCCTTTTTGCAATTCAAAGTCTATATTAGCAGAGTTTCAGACCTTATGCCCACCTTCTGGCTGTGTTGCCATGGTTACATTTGTCAAAATGAAAGGTTTACTGACTTATACACCTGTCAGCGTAGTGAATCACTGATGAGCTAGATATGCAACACATGTAGTGTGGTCAATGTGCACAGCAACACAGCGTGGTTACTTAGTCACATGATAAAACATTTGAGTGGATAATAATGAATAATAATAACAACAGTGATAATCTTTGGAATAGGCCCATATGATAATCTTTGGATATAGGCCCATATAATGAGTAGGCCCATATACGGAATAGGCCCATATACGGAGTAGGCCCATATACGGAGTAGTATAGGGAATAGGTTTTTGTTTTCCATATACCTGTCTTGGGGTTGGATAGACTTCTGGGAACCACAAAGAAAAAACAATGCAAACAAAAAGTAGTCCAAAAACTCAAGTGCAGTTTTGTGCAAAACACTAATTTTTTTGTGACTCTGGGAGCCGAATGGGCTAGTTTGGAGCTTATAGGCTTGGTGCACCTTTGTGGTCCCGTACCGCTATTCCCTATAGTAATTACGGCCTCAGAAGAATTCCAGCCAACAAACCTGATCTTGTCCTTTTTGATAAAGCCAGTGAATTTTTTTATATCATTGAATTTTCTGTCCCTTTTGACAGCAACGTGATTGGCAAGATTCAGGAAAAGCATTCTAAATATGCAGACCCTGCCTTTGAAATGTCTCCCTTACATCACAAGTACACTGTCGTCAGACTCCCCATTGTTCTCGGTGCCCTTGGTTTGGTACCTCCTGATCTTTTGGCGCAGATCAGGAGAGTGCTCGGGTTCTCCACTGGGAGCACAGCCCTTCTGACACTCTGGGTAATGCAGAAGGCTGATATGTTGGGGAGTCTACATATTCTCCAGAAAGTTCTTGGTGGGTTTGACTAGGCAGCGCTTCCTGGGAGAAGTCCCATTCGCTGTCTGGGCTGCATGTAGAGGGGGCGAGGGCCCTGAGCTGATGATGAGCCCTACCAGCCTGACTGTGCCTGGATCACCCGAAACCTCTCTGCTACATTTTTCACCCTAATCAGTAAAACGTGATAACCTATGAACTTGATGAGGTGTATGATTTTGGTTGGTTGGTTGGTTGGTTGGTTGGTTGGTTGGTTGGTTGGTTGGTATGTTGTATGTTGTTTAATGCCGCACTCAGCAGTGTTCCTGCTCTATGATGGCGGTCTGTAAGTTAACAAGTCTGGAGCAGACAATCCATGGGCATCGATCTACGCAGTTGTGATGTGATGACATGTGTCAACGAAGTCAGCAAGTCTGACCACCCGATCCTGTTAGTCGCCTCTTACGACAAGCATGTGTTGCTGAAGACAAGTTCTAAACCGGATCTAGTCTAATTGGGAGATTATGTGTGCATGGACAAGTGTTGTTGCTGTACATACATGTGTATATACATTCTTAAGTAAAATTACCTTATTTCTGGGACTTAATGTCAGTCTAGCACTTCCTTGACTATGGAGATGTTTGTTAAGCAAGGTTCAGTAATGTAGAAATGTAGAAATCATGCGAGGTTGAGTAGTGAGATCAGAGCTGCTTACATATGTATACACACTGTCTATGTTTGCTGTAAATAAGTTGTACGTTTCTGTTGATGAATGTTTGAATTTAGTTAAAGATTGGTTTTTACTGCCATTTGACAATTTCTTGGAACATTAAACTATTTCTGAGACCTGAAAAACTAAGTAATTACAGACTGCAGGAAAGCAACACGGCTATAAAATAGCAGTAAAACGTGGAACGACATTCACGAGTAGTCTGTGATGTTTCACAAATGGTTTCAAGCCGTTTTATGACTTGCTTTTGTTCTGTGAGCTTCTTAGTAAGTGAATATGAAATTATCTATGTGGAGACGTAGAGAGTACCTGCTCCACATTTCAGGATAATTATACTTGTGGAAACTGCATATATTTATTCCCATTATGTCTCAACCGTGGAGAATTGGATCTGTTTTGGATTATCTTGATCCAGGGTATTTCAGAATGATGTTTATAAGATCAGGTTATGCTAATGACTTGAGTTTCAAGTCCCTCAAGGAACTTTTTATGATAATTGAAAAAAGATCTTATTTAATCCCCTGAGGAAGAAAGGAGTCCTTATCTCCAGCTTGCGACCATAAACAACTTATTTAGGAGATTAGAATTTGCTTTGGATCAAGTTCTGTTTTATACATAATCTGTTGTTGGTTAAACAACTGGGGTGTGTTGTTAATACAGTGCAGATATCCATGATGGGATCTGTATGTAATACTGAAGGCACATGTTTGTTCTGGCATGGTCCTGGTTTTAGAAATGAAAATACTTTATGTGGCTTTAATGGCTTGTCAGTGAACAGAAATATCATGCCTGTATTTGTTGTAAAAGGAACAGATTCTTAATATAACTTGCCATGGTAAGAAGTTTTCTTTTTATGAAGACATACTGCAACAACAGTTTGAAATATATTACAAGACTGATGGTCGTATGTATATCAATGAAATCGGGGGCACCTGTCATTTCACTGACTAGAAATGATGGTCAGGAAAATATGTGCTACTCTTTGACAATATTGTGTACTACAAAATATACAATCCGATCATGGCATTGTGAGTGAGTGAGTTTAGTTTTATGCCACTTTCAGCAACATTACAGCAAGGTGCTGATGCGAGATAGTGTGACAGTGTCAGTTGACGCTGTTGTGTACTACAGAATTTACAACCCAACAGTGTCAGTGTCTAACATGTGACAGTGTCAGTGGATGCTGTTGTGTACTCCAGAATTTACAACCCAACAGTGTCAGTGTCTAACATGTGACTAGTTGTTTCAGGTGCTGACGCGAGACAGCGTGACAGTGTCAGTGGATGCTGTTGTGTACTACAGAATCTACAACCCAACCGTGTCAGTGTCTAACATGTGACTGGTTGTTTCAGGTGCTGACGCGAGACAGCGTGACAGTGTCAGTGGATGCTGTTGTGTACTACAGAATCTACAACCCAACCGTGTCAGTAGCCAATGTTGAGAATGCACCAAACTCCACACAGCTCCTGGCTCTACAGACAACCCTTCATGTAATGTTCTCGTGCTGAGACAGTGTGACAAACTTGTCTGAGATTCTGGCCGAGCCTCAGACAACCCTCGTAATGTTCTCGGCACGAAAAACTTGTCTGAGATTCTGGCCGAGCGGGAACTAATCAGCCACAGTATGCAGGTTGGTCCTGATCACAAATTTGAAAAAAAGACCCAAAGACTGAATCAATGGCTCACACATCAGAATACTATATTTATTTATTTATTTTTATTTATATATATTTATATAGCGCCAATATCCAGATCACCTGCTCAAAGGCGCTTTGTTTTTCCCTCGATCATTGGATATCAGTCTCAAATGGCACAATGTATTATCAATCTCAACTCCCTGGGGAGCATACAAATCTTGAAGCCACTAAGTGCACCGAGTTAATGTGGCTTTCCCATCCTTACAAGGTACCCATTCACAGCTGGGTGGACTGTAGTTTACTGCATGTTGCTGTACCCGCAACTAGATGTTTGCACGTATTTATGTGGCCACCATCTGGTCATATACCAACGGATTCATGGGTTCTTTTAAGTGCACAGGGTTGTGTACTGTACACTAGGGGTTGTGACAACACTGAAAGAGTCTGCACACAAAGTTGACTCCAAGGTTTTTACACCCGGTCACAGGTGGGCTCGATCCCGTCACCTCAAGCTCGCTGGATCACTATCCTGGCGCCTTAGCCTGCTTGCCCACCGTGCCCCCAACTATATCATTAAGGTGAACTCTATGGAAATTCTGGGAAAGAATTGGTCCCCAGCAAAATATGCTGTGGCATGGTGGGCGAGCTGTTTAAGGCGCCGCCCTTGTAGGCGAAAGGTGCCTGGATTGATCCCCACCTGTGACCGGGTGTAAAAACCTTGGAGCTATATTACTTGCAGGGTCTTTCAGTGTTGTCACAACCCCTAGTGTGTAGTACACAACCCACTCACCCAACGGTAGGTGACCAGATGGTGGACACACAAACACGTGCAGACACCTAGTTGCGGGTATAGTATCATTGGACACAATACTGTGACTATGTGTCCCAGTTCACCCAGCTGCAAATGGGTACCTTGTGAGGATGAGGCTGTGTGATAACTCGCTGCGTCTAACTGGCTGCATGATTTGAATACTCCCCAGGGAGTTGAGATGGTTAAAAGAATGCCAGCAAAAAAGACACCCGTTGATCAAGGAAACACTCAAGCGCCTTGAGCGTGTACTAGTTGAGTGGATATGTGCGCTATATAAATATCATATCATATCATATCATAATATGCCAGTTGTAAGACGAGACAAATGGATCACATGGTGACTTGGTTTAGAGTGCGCCATCGCACGACAATGGTGTGGATCGCTGCTCACAATATCGACCAGGTCTAACAAAATATGTTGTGGTTCCGATTACCCGACCGTCCCTTGAATTCTGGTGCCGGCCCTATTTTCTTTAGGTGGCATGAATAAAATAAGCTTTCAGATACCATTGCTTTTTCCTGGCACCGACGGACATCGGTCATCCTGATAGAGAAAGTCAACATGATGGCCGCAAGCTTGATTGAATAAACAATTACACATTGATAAATGTGTTCTTAGTTTGTATTTTACTTCTAAAAAACGTGTAAAAAAAATCCATCCTACCTACCTACCTACCCTAAATGTTAAAGAGGTGTAATCAGAACCACAACATTTCTTTTTATTTGATTATCTAGTCTATACTGTATGTCTCCAGCAACAAGGTTTATTGAAATTTTATTCTGTTTAATTCTTTATCCTCCCTTTTATTAAAGAGACAAAATAAACTAAATAATCTTTCAAAATATTTCAGCATTTGAACGCAATGTTAAATATACATAGTTTAGTAGTATAAGTACATTTGATGAAAAAAGTTCTACATGATCAGAAGTCAGTGTTTTGTGTGAATATAATACATTGTCTTCATGTCATTTTGGGTAATTATTCAAAGTAAAAGGCTTTAATAAATGTCAGGAGTCAAATTTGCAGGGCTGCCAAATTGATTGAACTGAGTGCTCCCTTAAAATAATGATAAGATGGGCATAAGTAGACATCAAGCTACAGGGGTTGGCATGTTGTATGGCTATTCTATACATTTACTGTATAAAATTCTGCAAGACGTATGGCATGGGATATAGGACCCTTGTTGTTTTCCACGATTTATAATTGTTTACTCCAAATATGTTCCTTGTTGTGACATGTTTGTTTCTGCCGGCAGTCTATGCTGGATGAGGCCACGGACAAATGGGGGATCAAGGTGGAAAGAGTGGAAATGTGAGTTGCCATGGTTACCAAATAGATTCAGCTCTAACTGCTTGTTGCAGTGAAAACATTGTATTAACATGTCAGCTTCGTGTTGGTTGTCATTAATTTCCGAACAACTTAGTTACACATTTGACTAATTGTCACATGGCCATTGTCAATATCACCTTGGCAACAAATAACTATTGTTCAACGTAACTAAGTTAACTTGTGATTTATATCAATATCACCATGGTAACACATGACTATAATGGAAATATATACACCTAGTTTCCACAAGTATAATTACCTTTAAAAGTGGAACAGGTACTTTTTACGTCTCCACGTAGATAATGACATATTCACTTACTAAGAAGCTCACAGAAAAAAGACAAGTCATAAAACGGCTTGAAACCATTTGTGAAACATCACAGACTACTCATGAATGTCGTTCCACGTTTTACTGCTATTTTATAGCTGTGTTGCTTTCCTGCAGTCTGTAATTACTTAGTTTTTCAGGTCTCAGAAATAGTTTAATGTTCCAAGAAATTGTCAAATGGCAGTAAAACCAATCTTTAACTAAATTCAAACATATATACAAAAGGGAATTAAAATAAATAATATCCAAAAGCAACACATTACTACTACATGACTACAGCCAACATTACCTCAGCACCATACTACTGTCGATATCATGATAGCTGCACACGGGAAGGGCCAATACCATCTTAGTAACATGACCATGGACGTTAACACCTTAGTTACAAATGGCAGTTGCTAATACAATCTTGTCAGTGTCACCTTAGTAACACATGGCAATAACCAGTATTATCTCATGTTCCAATTACATAGATCGATGAACATACTGTTGATCACTGGATTGTCTGGTCCAGACTCAATTATCTACAGAATGACATCAAATGGCTGGAATATTGCTGAGAGTGATGCTTGATCACTGGATTGACTGGTCCAGACTCGATTATCTACAGAATGACATCAAATGGCTGGAATATTGCTGAGAGTGATGCTTGATCACTGGATTGTCTGGTCCAGACTCGATTATCTACAGAATGACATCAAATGGCTGGAATATTGCTGAGAGTGATGCTTGATCACTGGATTGTCTGGTCCAGACTCGATTATCTACAGAATGACATCAAATGGCTGGAATATTGCTGAGAGTGATGCTTGATCACTGGATTGTCTGGTCCAGACTCGATTATCTACAGAATGACATCAAATGGCTGGAATATTGCTGAGAGTGATGCTTGATCACTGGATTGTCTGGTCCAGACTCGATTATCTACAGAATGACATCAAATGGCTGGAATATTGCTGAGAGTGATGCTTGATCACTGGATTGTCTGGTCCAGACTCGATTATCTACAGAATGACATCAAATGGCTGGAATATTGCTGAGAGTGATGCTTGATCACTGGATTGTCTGGTCCAGACTCGATTATCTACAGAATGACATCAAATGGCTGGAATATTGCTGAGAGTGATGCTTGATCACTGGATTGTCTGGTCCAGACTCGATTATTTGCAAAATTCCCCCTTATAGCTGGAATATATCTGAATGTTGTGTTTAATAACAAACAAACAAAACAAATGGCTATTGTCAACATCATTGTGACTCTCTACTTTCCAGTAAGGACGTCCGATTGCCAGTCCAGCTCCAGAGAGCCATGGCAGCCGAGGCTGAAGCTGCAAGAGATGCCCGCGCCAAGGTTTGATACTTCATTGTGGGAGATGCATTTGTCTTTCCTCTCTCTCCATTATAAACATTCTTGGTGTGTTATTATACCAAATAGACTCTGTCTATAATGCTTTGCAGGGGCGGATACAGCTTTTTGAGTAAGGGGGGGCGCACACTATTGAGAAAAGGAGGGGTGCACACTTCATTTTTAACCGAGTTTCAATGGTCATTTAACAAGCTTTCAGCACGGGGGGGGTGCGCACCCCTGCACGCCCCCTCTGGATCCGCCTATGCTTTGTAATATTAATTTGCATGTAACAAGGGATTGATCCTCAAGATGCAACATATGGCAATGGGAGCCATGCCAATTTACACTTGTCAGAGGGGTACACAAAGTGCATGATCTAGACTACCAGTTGTCAGAATACATTCAGTGGGTTAGATTGCTGACATTGTGTGCCAGTGATGAGGTGCCTCTCTCTGAGAATGTGTGTTCAAATCTTGGATGGGACTTGACATTGTATATTTAGTCCTCAAAATGCCTTTGATATTTATGTTTACCATGACCTTGATGTTAATAGTGAGCTGTCAGTGACATTACCAGTGGTATATGCCTGATATCTATGCTGACCTTGACCTTCATGTTATGTGTTTAGCACCCTTGACATTGATGGTAGTAAATAATTCTTGATATTCCCAGTGATAAATACTGGTTATTAGGCCACCCTAACCCTTTCATGAGCGAGTGAGTGAGTGAGTGAGTATCATGAGTGAGTGAGTTTTACACCACTTTTAGCAATATTCCAGCATTACCACGGCAGGGGACACCAGAAATAGGCTTCACATATTGTACCCATGTGGGGAATCGAACCCAGGTCTTCGGCATGGCGAGTGAACGCTTTAACCACTAGGCTACCCCACCACCCCACCCTCTCATGTGATGGTAACCTGGCACTGATGTGTTGTACTTGCTGTTGCCAGGTGATTGCTGCAGAGGGAGAACAAAAGGCATCTCGGGCTCTTAAGGAAGCTGCAGACATCATGGTGGACTCGCCAGCAGCTCTTCAGCTCCGGTACCTCCAAACCCTCAGCTCGATCTCAGCGGAGAAGAACTCGACCATCATATTCCCCCTGCCGATGGATCTGCTGAAGAATTTTATAGCCAAATGATGCTGCAATCTCCTGTCAACTGATATCAAATCCCTCATCCTATTGGACACAATTTCCTCATATTCAGGACTGTGAAGATTGCTGGGAATTGCCACCATATCTTTGTTGGAATACACACAATACTGTGTTCCAGGCTGATAACTTGAATTCTTCTTGGTCAATAAGCACAAAGTAAAATACATAAACTTAACTTCAATTTTGTTAGAAATGTTTAAAAATCTTTATTTAAGATTCTACTGAATATGAAAGAAACAATTTACATAAAAAGAAAAAAACACACTATAATTTTCATTCGTTTTGCACACTTTCAGACCAGATGATTAAGTAAAAGGGTATAATATATTGTGATAATTTGGAGTCCTCCCACAGATGACGAGACTCACTTTGTCAGCATGCTGTTGGGTTAACGTCTTTGGTCACGTAGACAGGTCAATCAACCTGGAATCCAGTCAGGAAATTTTATAGTAGCTACATATTCCTCCAAACAATTTAAGAACGGACAGGTCTTTCATATTAATATGAAAGTATCATGCATTCCTTAACTGCTTTTGACTAAAATATATTAATTGGACTCTATGATGCAGTCATCAAGTCAAAAACTGACAATTATGATTTTGTACCATTCATTGTTAAAGTGAGAAGAAACAGATTATGTGAATGCATTTGTACATATATTTATAAAATCCAGTCTTACAATATGGGAAATTGTATCCAGAATTGTTGATTTTTCAATGTGTATTGTCTTTGAATGATTATCGAAGTGTAGATGCTACGAACATTTCCATCGCCCCTGGTACACTTGCACCATTTCACAAGACACAACATGTCTGCCTTTGGTTTCTACTGCTCGTGCTGACAAGTTTTCACAGTTGTCCATACTTTGTGTACACACTTGTAAATATATATTTAACCATCTGTGTATCTTGTACATAACTTTGTTGCTATGGAAATATATGCATCATATTCTCATGATGTGCCCGAGGTCGGCCATTGTTTCAACCATGTTCACAATTTCTCAAAAACTTCAGTGTGAGTGTAGGGTTATGCTGTAAATCCTTGAATAGACACCCCTGTTTAAACATGTTGGGTCTGACCAACTCACCAAGTGAATAGATGTCTAGATGTAAGGTCAAAGCCTCTAAACATTGATACTCCTTTAGTTTGTCTCTAAAGTGATATTACATTCATACAATCATACAGACCACGCACATTTTATTCCGATTACATGACCCATCTTCAGGGAACTTATAAGTGTTTACTGTTATGTGAAAGACACAGAATAGATGGTGGATTTAAGAAGTCTCATAAATAAGGCATTTATTCAAGGATTTACAGTAAGCATTTTCCAGGAGCATCACAGCTGGATGCTATTGATAATTGTACCCATGAGGGTCTATGGGTGACAGAAACTGAGCAAAAACGCTCTTTTTAAAAAAAAAGCTTATTATTTTTTTGTCTTTGTTCTTACACCTTGTCACACTGAGGAATAATCATTAAAATCATGTTTTGACACAAAAATATGACTCCATCGTGTCAGTTGAACACTCGCAGATATTTATCCAAGTTACAGATGTGTTTGCTTTTGAGCCAATCAGATTCTGACCTCCAAATAAGATTCTTTATCAGCTGACTCTGAAAATATTATTCTTAAGCAAAAAATTCCAAATTAAACATTTCATATTCATGTACTTCAACTGACCATTTTACTTGATGGAATTGAAAATGCTTTGTCATATGGTGTTCTGATAATTTTATTGTGGCACAAAGGGATCTTAATTATGAAATATGGGACAAATAGGTTGAGATCTGATTTAAGTACTTGCTTGACAAAAAAGAAAGATTCTTTTTGTGCTTGTGATGTCTTTATACAAGACTCTTGTATTGATGCAATATATTGATATTTAGAGAACAATTTCTTCTTTTTCTTAAGAAAAATAGTACATCTGACTGAATACAGTTTTATGGCCCCAGTTTTATGGGGAAATACATGAATAAATATCAAATGGGATGTTCTGTTTCTGTTTTAACATTTTAAACATCCAAATTGTATAAGGCTTTGCAGGATATTTATTGGTTTACATATCGGCTTATTTTAAAAATCTCAGATTATAAAAATATTTTTTTTGTACCCCAGACATTAAAGACTGCTGTGACAAATATCATGTTAGTGAAATGCTGGAGCCAGATTCAGTTTTTATTTCATATTAGTATCCAAACCAGGCCAATTATTTTGAATTTTTGACCTATCAATCCATTTTTAAGATGATCTTGTGCAATGCCTTTATGTGTTGTTGTATTTCAACCTACTGACCACTGTGACCGTTGAAAACCAAAGTTTATTAAATACTTGAAGATGTATTCATATTGTCAAATGGAAGCACAATTGTCAACACAAACACAGATGCCAGGTTGTATAATGGGTACCAGGATGATACGGTGATATTGTCCATTAGGAAGGAAGTCAACAGTGATTGGACAACCAGGTTGTATAATGGGTACCAGGATGATATGGTGATATTGTCCATTAGGAAGGAAGCCAACAGTGATTGGACAACCAGATTGTGTTATGGGTAGCTGTAGGAATACCTGATGTAACTCCCTGTAACTCACCAGCTGATCATAAATGTCATGTTTTGAATGCCTGTTATAGCGTTACACAACATTACATGAGTCTCCACGGTCCTGAGCTACCTGTTATTCAATGGGTACCCAGATGGTTTTATGTTAACCTCTTGGAGTGAATAATCTAATGTCTAGCTATGTATGGTTATATTCTGGATAGGATGATTGAATTCCCTTACACAGGTTTTCATTCTGGTTATATCCTGGGTACCCAGAAGAATGATAATGTTGTACCCCCAGACAGGCTATCTTTCTGGTTATATCCTGGGTACCTGGAAGAATGTTAATGTTGTACCCACAGATAGGATATCTCTCTGGATATATCTTGGGTACCCGGAAGAATGTTAATATTGTACCCCTAGATAGGATATTTTTCTGGTCATATCCTGGGTACCTGGAAGGATGTTTGTAATATACCCCTATATACATATCTACAGTTTTAGTGTACTTGCTTATTTTATGGATACCTGGAAGCATGTTTCCTGTTAGACGAGGTACTTTACCCTGATCATATCTGTTTGGTTTATATTCTAGGAAGATTTTGATCTCATTGGTTGGGACATGGGACTTCCTTCCCGGTTGAATAATGGGTACCTGGAAGGATGTCTTTTAATAAATTGTTAACATTTGCTAACATGGTAAGGTTCTTTTACTGTCCTTACCACAGCTGTTTCTAAACTGGGTACCCAGCAGGATGTGGATATGATCACTTTAATCACCTTATCTACCGCAGAAATTCTATCATAATGGCAGTTTTATAAGGCCAGTGCAAAACCAGTGCAATTGGTGTTTGTTCCACGATCTAGTCCATGTTTTATATTACTTTATGTATTTACATATTACTATTGCTTTTTATTATTGCTTTTTATCTTTATATGTAACCAGTATGTCCTAACAGGCCAAAGCGTAGTCAGTATAACACTTTGGGTCTGAAAGTATTCATGTGATGATATGAAGTTTACCTGTTGCTTTTAACAGGAAGCTCGCAAGTGTTGCCAGTAAACGTCCCCCACTATGGTTTTCAAACTGAAAATGTTTGACAAAGCATGGCCAGAGGAATCTGGGAAATGAAGTTTGGTTTTGTTATGTTTAATTAAAGAAGAGACATTTGGTAGAAAATTTAAATGAAAGGGTTATGTATACTCAACCAAAAAAGTTAAGGACTACACCAATTTACAATATTAAAGTATTTAATATATCCATATAATACATAAGTATTGAATATTGGGGTGGTCCTCAACTTTTTTTTGAGTATATATTGAGAATAGTTGTAGTTCATCCCTTGTATGGAGAAACTGTGTGTTTTCTATTTGAGACTATAGTGCGTTTGGCTCAAAAGCGGACCGATGAATTGCAATCTAACTCAAAAACTAATAAACATATAATACTCAATGAAACGCTGATCATAATCAAAATATCAGACCAACTCTGTGATTTGTTTGCAGAATTGGGCGGTGGGGTAGCCTAGTGGTTAAAGCGTTGGTTCGTCACGCTGATGACCCGGGTTCGATTCCCCACATGGGCACAATGTGTGAAGCCTATTTCTGGTGTCCCCCGCTGTGATATTGCTGGAATATTGCTAAAAGCGGCGTAAAACTAAACTCAGTCAGTCAGTCAGTCAGTTTGCAGAATTTATGTCCTAAAATTATAAAAGTTGTTTAACAAACTATCATTGAAATATTGACACAGTTCACTATTTGTTACGAGGGAGGAGTGCAGAGAAAGGGACAGCCAGGTGTTAGAGAAGCACGTGCACAAGTGCCGACAAAGTTAGTGATTCATTAACCTGTGCTGTGCTGTCTCCATCCTTTCTCGCACACCGGGCTGTCCCTTTCTCTGCACTCCTCCCTCGTAACAAATAGTGAACTGTGTTGATATTTTAATGATAGTTAAACAACTTTTTTATTTTTAGGACATAAATTCTGCAAACACCTCTCAGAGTTGGTCTGACGTTTTCATTATGATCAGTGTTTCATTGAGTATTATATGTTTATTAGTTTTCGAGTTAGATTGCAATTCATCGGTCCGCTTTTGAGCCAAACGGACTATAAAATAAGGGAAGTAGCTAACAGGGATAGGTTTTGTAAAGGAGTTAATGTTAATTCTTGAGAAAAGCCAGAAACAGAGGAAGTCGTTCTGTTAAACTGTAGCAGTCTTGTTAAAGGGGGACTCTCACCATGGTCAGGAACCCAGTCTTGATGTGCATTTTGTGATGGAACAAGTGGTCTGTAAACCAAAACATTGTCAGTGTAAAACTGGGTAACCATTGACTACCAGCCGGACGCAAATCACAGAATTAGATGCTCAGACTGCCGAGATGCCTCAGTGGAGTCCTCCTTTAATAAATACAGTCCACTAACATTGTCATTGTATTTAAATATTTGAGAACATTCTAGTTGATACGATTAAGGGGACATATAATGATATTGTTATCATGTCATAGTTTATCAGAAACCCATGTGCAGTAGTAAACTGGGTTTTGGCTGTTCGCTGATTGTGTTTTACACGTAATTGTGTGCTGTCATCAATGCATTTTAAAGTCAAAGAAACATATAGTACCAAGCAGCTTTCAGTTGTTTAGCATTATGGACTCAAAACACAAAAATTGTGTTGAGAAACATCTAAGCTGGAGCCAAAGTAGGTTTCATAAAATTTGATAACATGCAACATGTTTAGCTAACAAGCCGTTGTGGCCGGTGAATTTTAGAAACTACTTCCCACACAGTGAGTCCCAATATGTACATGTTCATATTTTCGGGGGGCGGTGCTGTAGCCGTGTGGCTAAAGCGTTAGCTCGTCACGCCACAGACCTGGGTTCGATTCCTTACATGGGTACTGTGTGAAGCCCATTTCTGGTGTCCCCTGCCGTGATATTGCTGGAAAACTAAACTCACTCACTCATATTTTCGGGAGTAAGAGTTGACAAATATTGATGCCTGTAATGACTATCTGTTATTATTATTATTATTATTATTATTAGGATTTGTCTTAATTCTATGCTTTGTGCTCTGTTATTTTCTGGTGGTGTATTATTTAGAAATGGTAACTACTGATAGTTGGGTACAGAGAGGGTGGGAAGTTATTTAAGTATTTAAATGATTTAAGAGATAGATTATTTAGGGTTCCGTAATAATGAATGTTTGCTCTTGTAAAAATAAAAAAGGACAATCATTTTGGGTAGATTTGATCACCCAAAAAGGTAATATTTTTATACCACATTCATACATAACAATTCTCCTTCATCACAAATTATCAGTCCTTTTGGGAAGACAGCACTGTTTTCTGTTGTTTTAAGGATAACATTTGGTTATCATGTGATTATATATGACAATTGTTTTAGCAACTTTCCAATTTAGGTGGATATATTATTGTTTCTCACCAGGCAGTTATTATTTTCTTTATCTCATAAACTGAAATGAAATTTTATGAAAATTATGGATTTATCATTACTAGAGTTTTACAACCCTTGAACTGCAGCATATCCAGTAGAATTAGTACTGAAGTTTGACAGTTGATGCTGCTATGGTGGGCAACTGCTCTTCTATGTATTTCCAAGTTGGATGAGTCTGTATATAAAGAGTTTTAAGTGTTGATGGTTTTACTTAGACAAAGTATTTATGATTGTTTCAATGAATTTGTTGTTTTGTCATAACACTTCTGTGAAATAAATCTGAGACTGAAAATATATCTGGTTTATGATTTAGTTGAAAAGAACAGTTTTTCTTTTATATATATATTTGGTTATATAACCCCATCTTCATAATCTACTATGTCATACCACTGACACAATCTACAGTGTCATACCACTGACACAATCTACAGTGTCATACCATCTACAGTGTCATACCACTGACACAATCTACAGTGTCATACCACTGACATAATTTACAGTGTCATACCACTGACACAATCTACTATGCCATACCACTGACACAATGATCAATGTCATTGACACAATCTATGAGAAGGTCGGGGTTATAATTATCTTCAGTAACCCATGCTTGTCTTAAGAGGCAACTGCTGGCTTGGTTGACACATGTCATCGTATGTCAATTGTGCAGATCGATGCTCATGCTGTTGATCACTGGATTGTCTGGTCCAGACTTGATTATTTACCGACCACCGCCATATGGCTGGAGTATTGCTGAGTGTGGCGTAAAACTAAACTCATTCACTCACTCATACAATCTATGATGATGTGCTACTAATACAACCAGAATGTAATGCCACTGCCACAATTTACGATGTCAGGGCACTAAAACAATAAATTGTCACTGACTTAATGTACAATATCGTCGACTGACACAATCTGCAATATCGTCCACTGACACAATCTACAATGCCATGGCACTCACACTACCTACAACGTCATACCACTGAAATCTTTACTATGCCATGTCATACCACTGAAACAATCAATCTGATGTCTTACTACTGACACAAATGTCATACCACTGAAATAATCTACGATGTCATACCACTGAAACAATCTACGATGTCTTACTACTGAAACAATCTACGATGTCATACCACTGAAAAAATCTACAGTGTCTCACCACTGAAACAATCTAGTGTCATACCACTGAAACAATTTACGATGTCATACCACTGAAACAATCTACAGTGTCATACCACTGAAACAATCTATGATGTCATACCACTGAAACAATCTATGTCATACCACTGAAACAATCTACGATGTCATACCACTGAAACAATCTACGATGTCATACCACTGAAACAATTCACGATGTCATACCACTGAAACAATCTACGATGTCATACCACTGACACAATCTATGAAATCATAACACTGAAACAATCTAGTGCCATACCACTGAAAATATCTATGATGTCACACCACTAAAACAATCTATGATGTCATACCACTGATACAATCTATGTCATACCACTGACACAATCTATGTCATACCACTGAAAAAATCTACAGTGTCATACCACTGAAACAATCTATGATGTCATACCACTGAAACAATCTACAGTGTCATACCACTGACACAATCTACAGTGTCATACCACTGAAACAATCTACACTGTCATACCACTGAAACAATCTACGATGTCATACCACTGAAACAATCTACGATGTCATACCACTGAAACAATCTACGATGTCATACCACTGAAACAATCTACGATGTCTTACCACTGAAACAATCTACGATGTCATACCACTGAAACAATCTATGATGTCATACCACTGAAACAATCTACGATGTCACACCACTGAAACAATCTATGATGTCATACCACTGAAACAATCTACGATGTCATACCACTGAAACAATCTACAGTGTCATACCACTGAAACAATCTACAGTGTCACGGCACTGAAACAATCTACAATGTCATACCACTGAAACAATCTACAGTGTCATACCACTGAAACAATATACGATGTCATACCACTGAAACAATCTACGATGTCATACCACTGAAACAATCTACGATGTCATACCACTGAAACAATCTACGATGTCATACCACTGAAACAATCTACAGTGTCATACCACTGAAACAATCTGATGTCATACCACTGAAACAATCTATGAAATGTCATACCACTGAAACAATCTGATGTCATACCACTGAAAACAATCTATGATGTCATACCACTGAAACAATCTATGATGTCATACCACTGAAACAATCTACCACTGATGTCATGTCACCACTGAAACAATCTACGATGTCATACCACTGAAACAATCTATGATGTCATACCACTGAAACAATCTACGATGTCATACCACTGAAACAATCTACAGTATCATACCACTGAAACAATCTACAGTGTCATACCACTGAAACAATCTACAGTGTCATACCACTGAAACAATCTACGATGTCATACCACTGAAACAATCTACGATGTCATACCACTGAAACAATCTATGATGTCATACCACTGAAACAATCTATGATGTCATACCACTGAAACAATCTACGATGTCATACCACTGAAACAATCTACGATGCCATACCACTGAAACAATCTACGATGTCATACCACTGAAACAATCTATGTCATACCACACTGAAACAATCTATGATGTCATACCACTGAAACAATCTATGATGTCATGCCACTGAAACAATCTACAGTGTCATACCGCTCAATAACACAATTTTCCCCTGAAATTAAAATATTTACTCCCAGTGCAAAGTATGAAATCAGCAACCAGACTGTCAGGAAGGCGTCTTAAGTGAGTGAAGTTGAATGTATGCTTTTCTCTGGATCTGCCTATCCAACACACCCTCTATGCTTAAATCCCCAAACGGTGGATAGGTTTAATTGATCACTGAATTCATCTTCGGAAATGAACATGTTTCTGTAGTTTGGGCTGAGAATGTATCATCTCATAAACAAAATCCAAAGGAACCAAATCACTGGACTTTTTCCTCGTATTTTACTTCTTCAACTCTCTTCATGTGAGGGTGTCTAGACTCCTCCCAGCAAACCTCTCCAATATGTAATAAACGTTAAGTAACGACTGTCTGGTGTTTCATAACATACAAACATGTTATTTTAAAAACAAAAAGAAACCAAAAGAATAATAAATATTTATTTAATATATATTTCACAAAATGACGAACATACACGTTTCTAACACGTGTGTTTCTCATTGCTGTCAACGGAAATCTTGACCTCTGAGTTACAAAATCATCTTGATATTTGAAACACGCTAGGTATGTGGGATGAACGGCCGTGAGGAGTGTGGTCAAAGGGAGACAACTCATGTCTTCATAGGCTTGTATAACAAACCAAATATATTCTTAACATATATCTATCGAACCGATTACGTTGGGTATTAGGTTTACATTTTATCTTGTAAACAAAAAACATAAATAATAACACAGGTCACATTTGTAACGGACAAGAGAAACCACCAACAACGCTTCACTGACATGATTAACGAACGTGAAACTGTCACATGAACTCTGGCACAGCGTTCACAGTTGGGTGATGTGGTTACAAGATCAGATACATGTCGCAGTACGGAGTTGTGATAACCCGGCAAATCATTTACTTCCGGTTACAGTGGGGCGTGGTGATTCATTGACACAACAGCTACTCAACACAGAAAACAACCACTGACTCCTTTCTGCTGAAGGTAAGTAGATGTAACTGCGAAGCCTCTGACATGAGACTTACAACAGTCTTGTTTTCCATTATATCATAACAGGCGCGAGAGTGTAATCTCTGGAAAAGGTTTTAATGAATACGACTGCTTTTTTTCTTGTTTGCCGTTTGGTTTCTGATGGGCTGAGTAAGAATGTCAGATTTCCGCTCGACTTCGCCAGTTGTCTTATACGGTCAATGATAGAGAGTCTAGACGGGTAAAAACGCCACTGTCACCAGAGAACTCGTGAACTCGCGCGATATCATTATCAGTTAGGGATGCTTATTACTCAGCGTTCGCTCTGACGACAGCTTGGAAACAGGAACAAGAATATCTATTTCCATCGTCGACGTTGTTGCACGTCAGTGAGGTAGACGTTGTTAAAGTAGAACCTGTGTTGTAAGTATGGTGTTGTATAGTACAATATTGTCATATATTCACCATTGCTTCTACGATTTACTTCAGTTCGTATTCATGTTTATCCTATGGATGTTTTCAAATTAAAATGTTTGTAATAAGGGTGTAATGTCAGTTTGTGAATATGCTAAAAGCAGTTCATTGTATTTTACAACACACACAGTTTATTTAATAAGGTATGCTATAAATGTTTCTATGTTTGGAAAATCTACAATCTGATGCCTCGCCTGCATCAGGGAGACTATATAACGGGGAGTGGTCACTCCTCGAAAAGCCCCTAAGCGTATGCCTCGGCTCGTCACGTGACCAGTGTAGCCAATATGGCGGCAGCTTAGTTTTTAAGATTAAGCCCGATTTATTTTCAACAGCTGATTATGTTCTCAGAGTGTTGTGACAACTGAAAACCTATATGTAGAAGATAAGTTACCTATTCTGTCACTTCATTTTAAGTCAAATAATTGTTATTAGTGTCGGTATTAGTACAGTAGATTTGTAGTAAAGTTTCAAGTCGGCATGTTATAGCTCACTGGCTTCAGTTCTCGGTACACAGCGAAGAAAGACTAAATTCTACTGATAAAAACCTCTTTCACATATTCGATTAAATTTTAGAGGGGAAATATACCTTTAGTTGAAAGGTGTTTGCAAGTAATAGTGATAGTTTTATAACTTTGAAAAAATTGTTAGAATCTATTTGAGGTGTGTGAAAAATATGACATCGCCGATCTCCCATTGAAATACTATAGGGCGTTGTTTGAGTGTCTAGTTATTGTTCTAAAAACTTCTTTCACATACACCTTTAATTTTTATGAGGGGAATATACCATCAGGTGAAAGGTGTTTGCAAGTAATAGTGATAGTTTTATAATTTAAAAAAATTGTTAGGGTGTATTTGAGGTGTGTGAAAAATATGACATATCGCCTATCTGTTCTGATCCGCCATTGATGCTTGTGATGCTTAAGTGTTATAGTTCTAAAACTTCTTTCTGTCTTGTTGGTCTAAACTTTACAACGCTTTGTGATGTTCTAAACTTTCTGTATTTGAGGGGTGTGTGACAGTGTCAGTTAATATTCTGTCAATGTCCATGCCATTCCACACATGCGATAAGATATCTGAATTAATTACTAATGTAAAAAATGTCTCCAAGTAGATTTTAAGAAAAAGGGACAGCTGATGTTAACACATGTGTTCTAGCGATAGTTTTGCGTTCTTTAACATGTTTGGGGAGGGATGGCCGTGGTGTATCATTTATTCTTTCATTCATTCACATATGTATTTCTTTCTGTTGTTCTTTTCTTTAATTTCTTTCATTCATTCACATATAATTCTTGCTCTTAATTCTTGCTATAATTCATTCATTCATTCATTGTAAAATTCCGACTGATACAATAAACTGGCTGAAGTACTGTTAAACGCAGCCGAAGTTGTGCTGGGAACGAACCAAGTCACTGTGTGCGTTGGAGTATGACGAGGCACACGCTAATTAGTACAAATGGTAAAGAAAGCAAGCGAGTGACCTATCCCTGTTGTAGATTATCCCTGCCTGCATACAGCGAAGATATAAATTGTTGTGATTTCTCCTCACTAGCCTTTTTCGGTGATATAACTGAAAAAGAAGTGGGTGAGATAATTAAGATGAGTCCGGGTAAATCATGTTCCCTAGACCCCGTGCCAACATGGTTCCTAAAGGAGTGCCTTGACTCTGTTGCTCCTATCCTGACACACACAATAAACACATCTTTCTCAGAGGGATCAGTGCCACTGTCAATGAAGGAAGCTCTTGTCAGTCCTCTCATAAAGAAGAGCCAGCTTGACTCTGAGATAATGAAGAACTACAGGCCAGTATCTAACCTGTCGTATTTCTCAAAACTCATGGAGCGTGTTATGGCATCAAGACTCAAAGAGCACATGGAATCAAACTGCTTGTTTGAAGTTATGCAATCTGCATATCGGCAAGGGCACAGCACCGAGACTGTGCTAGTTCGTGTGCAGAATGACTTATTGTGTGCTCCTTCTACAGGAGGAGCCATCCTAGTCTTACTGGACCTATCTGCCGCGTTTGACACGGTAGACCACGGCATCTTAATCTCCATCCTTGAACGTAGGATCAGGGCCACTGGTCTAGCGTTAAAGTGGATCAGGTCCTACTTATCAAACCGACATCAGTCAGTGTGCATTAATGGAACAGTTTCGGAGAAGGAAGAACTTCAATTTGGAGTGCCTCAAGGGTCCATCCTCGGTCCGATTCTGTTTGTCATTTATACGTCACCACTTGGAGACATAGCACGATCACACAACCTTGCTTTTCACTTGTACGCAGATGATATCAAACTCTACCTAGGTTTCAAGCTTCTGCAGTCATCATCCTGCGATGCAGCATGTGCTGCAATTCAAAATTGTATTGCTGATATCCAAAAATGGATGACCAGACATTTCCTGAAGATGAATCAAGACAAAACAGAAATGCTCATTCTCTGTTCAAGTTCAACACGACAAAGGTTGTCTTCAATAACACTTGAAATTGATGAGTGTATCATTGAACCCACTGATCTTGCTCGCATTCTTGGGGTGATATTTGACAGCACTATTATAGTATTAGCCTTGAAAAGCACGTCAACAAAAAGTGCAAAAATGCCTACTATTTCTTCCGCATCATAGGCTTAATCAGGAAGTACATCAACCAGCAAACTGCTGCAACATTGATGCAAGCATATGTAGTATCTCGGTTGGACTATTGCAATGCTCTGCTGCAGGGGATTCCAGAATATCTTCTGAGCAAGTTACAGAGAGTCCAGAACTCAGCTGCCCGAGTTGTGACACGCACAAAGAAGACAGAGCATATAACACCTGTTCTGATGACATTGCACTGGTTACCCATCCAACAACGATCCATTACAAAATATTGGTACTGATGTTCAAAGCCTTGCACAACACAGCACCAGTTTATCTCTCAGACCTTGTGCAAGACTATAAACCAACGCCCCATCTGAGGTCATTACAACAATACTTGTGCCAGATATATAAATGTATATTAATGTAAATGTAATAAATGGTTATTGCTTAAAGTATGCTATACACAATTTATTGCCAAGAGTATGCTATATACAGTTTATATTGCATACAGGATGCTAAACACAGTATATCGCCCAGAGTAACATATACACAGTTTATTACATTTACATTTACTCAACATATTCCTATATACACTTCAAAGAGTAAAATATTATAACCTTTAAATCAAATGTATCAACAGCTGTAAGAAGCATATGAACATGTTGAATATGTGTACAACTTTGTTTCATATTTCTGGGATAGACTCTTCTTATGAAGTTGCACAATGATATTTTCTGTATAAAGCTGTAAGTATAATGCTAATGAGGCTGAACACTCGTCATCAATGTTTATTCTTTGATACAAATGTTTAAGAAATGACAAGGCACAGTTGATGTGTTTGCCATGTTCATGCTGGTATTTGTTTGTGTTGTTTGGGATGCTATTTATTATGTTTTGTTTGAAGATTTTATTTAGACAACCTGCCTCAGTAATCTTTCCTGCTTGCTCAGACTGTTTCCATCTTCTCAGGAATGTGTAATGTCAAAAATACATAAGGGTTTTATTCATTTGCACTCACATGATAATGAGTGGCAGCATTCTTTCTGTTAGTTGCAATATATTTCAATCTTAGGCTTTGTGCTAGAGTAACATCTAGATTCTGAAATTAACATATCTTACAGAAAAAATGATTAATAAATTATAATCATGAAATATAATGAACAGGAGCCTGGAGACTTGGCCTTGCATGGGCTTTCTTGGATATATATTTCAGGGTCTGTATGACAGATTCGATTTGTGTCCAATCAACAAGTATAATTAGCTTCCTATTAGGTACAATATTTTGATATCATTGAAATTCTTGGAAGTCAGATGTAATGTGTCAGATGTTGCTAGACGTGAAGTGGGTTACACAGATTTTACTCTGATCCCATTTTCATCGCACTTCCCAGAAAGTAACAAGAACTTAGGTCAAGGCGATTCCCCAACAGTCCCACTGATGTTGAGATCGTGTTCCATATACAAAAAAGCGCTTTGACTGATGATGCAGGAATGTGTATGTAATCTGTGAGATGGTGTTATCAGCAGTGGGATACACTGTATACATCCCAGTATCTGTCTTATATCCCATGGCTAGTGCCTTGGAAAACAGGGACACGAGTGGAGTCTTAGACTGGACTGCAAGGTTATACTACACATTAACATGCACACATTTCGGCTGATATAGTATACTGCATCCTGGGAGATGCACAATTAGTTGCATTTTCTTAACATGCTTAAAAACACATTAAACATATGATAACTGTTGTGCCATGTCACATCATGGAATGACATTCATTCATCTTCAGTAGCTTAAAAATGAGTACATGTAACTACATGACATTATTTATTTACAGTTGTCACTTATAAATATCATTCAGCTAGATGTTTCACCTGTGAATCAGGGGTGGAAATAACCCATTGCCCGATGTCCGAGTCCAGTGTTTTTTTCTGTTGGGCAAGCAAATTTGTATATCACACTGTACCGGTGTCCAGTTAACTTTCCAACGTTAATTATGTCGTTTATTTAAAAAATCAACAAGAAAATGTCCGGTATCGTGGAAAAATTATCAGGGCAAGTGATTTTACATGTACCACTGTACCGGAGTACACTAGTGATTTTAAAGTTATTTCAACCCCTGTGAATTTAACCTATAACATTGAGAAGATAGTTTAACTGTGAGTCCCTATTTTTTGCACCATTTGTGTGAACTGTGACTGTCCCATGGGCTCATCCCAAATTTGAGATCATTGTTTTGAAGCCTGGTTAAGCCTGACTCTGTTTCTAAGTTTTTAAAACCATGCATATGGCTATATCGTTCAATAGAATGGTAAACTTCTAAGGAATACCTCACTATGGGCTTCCTTCAGTGTCAAACTGGCACGCTTTGAACTGGAAAACTCTTCAAAGTAGCATTAAACCCCCATCTTTGAGTTGAATTCAGCAATCTTTGACACATAATTACATGTACCTACAGATCTATCTGGGCATCCTCAGTGGTTTTCCCTCATGTTTGCACTAATTTTCGCTAATAACTCCCACATGGGAATAAAACATGTTGTGTTTCATGTAGATATGATTACAACTAATATGATTGGTCAAGGTTCGTTGTATTCCACTGATGAAATAACCAGTAAGGAGTTAGAGGCTGCAAGAGTTGTATGCTCCCCAGGGAGTTGAGATTGATAATACTCCGACGTGCCGTTGAGATTGACATACAGTGATCGAGGGAAAAAACAAAGCACCTTTGAGCTGCTGAGCTGGATATCGGCACTATACAAATGGATGGATGGATGTCTACCAAAAAAATAAAATAAATTTTATGCATTGAAAGCCATGTTAAGGTGTGCTATTGAAATACTTCTTTCAATAAGAACTTTAGAATAATCCCAATTTTGATCAAAATACATTTTTGCAAGTGTGAAAGTTATGAAAGGCACTTAGCTTAAACTTAGATCAAACTTTGTGTTCATCATACTAGAAATGAGATATGACATCGTGTACAAAATGCGTGAGTGAGTGAGTATGGTTTCCAGCAATATCACGGCGGGGGACACCAGAAATGTGCTTCACACATTGTACCCATGTGGGGAATCAAACCTGGGTCTTCGGCGTGATGAGCGAATGCTTTAACCACTAGGCTACCCTACCGCCCTGCACAAAATGAGCTCCCAAACTTCACTTTATGGGTCTACTCGACTCCATGTTTTCTGTACGGAGGGGGAGATGTTAGCGTGGTGTAGCAACTCTTTCTTCACCAGGAGAGATTAACATAGTTAAAAATCCAGCACTTGTGAAACCTACAAGAAAGAAAAGATAAATTCTTATTTGAAGGGAGCAGCCATTTGCTGTGACATTTATAATGACTGTCAGCCAAGAAAGCCACATTATTTTCTCTCCTAGAAAGGGAAGCATTTGTTTTAAAGCAAGGGGCTCATTATTTTTATAAAACTCACCTGAAATGAGGATAGAATAAAGGTTGATATTTTGACATATAAATTTTGGCTTTATGGGTTGAATCTGCATTTTGGGGTAGCTGATTAGTGGTTCAGCACGAAGACCGGGTTCTGATTTTGTGTAGAACATTTTTGTTTTATGGTGTCCCCCAACTGACATTGCTGGAATTAAAAAACAAGCTTATCAACTTTAATCTGATCGAATCTGATTCAGTGGCTGAAGAGCGAAAGCACAGCTGTTCTGATTTTGAGTAGAAATTGATGATATGTTTTGATTGTGTTAGAGTACAATGTGTATTGCACTGGATATTTAACATGTGTTAAGCGGCCTTCACGGCAAACTAAAGTTTGGCAACACAAGTATTGTGGAGAATAGGATCGGTCGCTATTCTCACCAACTTTTCCATCAAACTTTCAGTGTTGTCAAACAACCAATCACAATCAAAGAAATTGTCAGGTGCTCAAATGACACGAAATTTTGACAACATGTGTTGACACCTTTTACAATTTTAACAACATGTGTTGTCAAACTTTAGTTTGCCGTGTGAAGGCCGCTTTAGGATATACAGTGATATATTTTATCATTGATCAGCATGATTAAAAATATGTGTATTTATACCATTGTCATCTTTCTAGGAGGGGTGGTGGGGTAGCCTAGTGGTTAAAGCGTTCACACGTCATGCCAAAGGCCAGGGTTTGATTCCCCACAGGGGCACAATGGGTGAAGCCTATTTCTGGTGTCCCCTGCTGTGATATTGCTGGAATATTACTGAAAGAGGCGTAAATCCCCACTCACTCACTCACAGATCACTCTCTCACTCTCACTCACTCACTCACTCACTCACTCACTCACTCTGCAGGGTAATACTGGTATGCCACATTACTCTTTTCTAACAATACATATTACACTATCCTTTTCTGAGAACCAGTATATTAGGTAAAAAAAATTAATAAAGTTTTGTTATTATCTCTATGGTTTAAGTTAAAACGTACACAGACCTTCATTCACTACTAATGTTTCCCTTCATAATTTGACAAAACAGCGTACTTGACATGCAATAAAATGTATGAAAAAGAAAATAGAATCCCCATCTATCCAGCCTAATTTTGAGATTGCTGTTAACAGAACTATAACACTTATTTTCAGGGCTTTAGTTGTTGAAAATAGGATCTGCATGTACAATCGGAGTCACTCACCATCGAACACTTAAACTCCCAATATATTGCAGTATGTATTGCAGTACAGGTACCTGAATCACAGTATATTACAGTACAATGTATTTGCCAATACACAACCGTAGTCAAAGGACTGTTAACCATGAAGCACCTGCCAGGGTGTACAGGTACCTGAATCACAGTATATTACAGTACAATGGTATTTGCCAATACACAACCGTATATTCAAAGGACTGTTAACCATGTATAATACAGGTACCTGAATCACAGTATATTACAGCACAATGTATTTGCCAATACACAACCAGGAGTCAAAGGACTGTTAATCACACCTGCCAGGGTGTACAGGTACCTGAATCACAGTATATTACAGTACAATGTATTTCACAGTATATTACAGTACAGGTACCTGAATCACAGTATATTAAGTATCAAGCACCTGCCAGGTGTACAGGTACCTGAATCACAGTATATTACAAAGTACAGTACTGAATGTATTTGCCAATACACAATCGTAGTATAACAGTACTGTTAACCATGAAGCACCTGCCATTACAGTACAGGTACCTGAATCACAGTATATTACAGTACATAAGTACCTGCCAGGGTGTACAGGTACCTGAATCACAGTATATTACAGTACAATGTATTTGCCAGTACACAACCGTAGTCAAAGGACTGTTAACTATCAAGCACCTGCCAGGGTGTACAGGTACCTGAATCACAGTATATTACAGTACAATGTATTTGCTGAATACACAATCATAGTCAAAGGACTGTTTACCATCAAGCACCTGCCAGGATGTACAAGTACCTGAATCACAGTATATTACAGTACAGGTACCTGAATCACAGTATATTACAGTACAGGTACCTGAATCACAGTATATTACAGTACAGGTACCTGAATCACAGTATATTACAGTACAGGTACCTGAATCACAGTATATTACAGTACAGGTACCTGAATCACAGTATATTACAGTACAATGTATACTTGAAACCCGGTTTTAACCAGAAATGCCAGGAGTGTACACTACCTGAACAAAGTATATTACCAGTACAAGTACTGTGAATCATGAAGTACCTGCCAGGATGTACAGGTACCTGAATCACAGTATATTACCTGCCAGTACAGGTACCTGAATCACAGTATATTACATTTACAGGTACCTGTTATTAACCAATGTGTACAGATTACCCTGAATCACAGTATATTCCGCCAGGGTGTACAGGTACCTGAATCACAGTATATTACAGGGTACAATGTATTTGCCAATACACAACCATAGTCAAAGGACTGTTAACCATGAAGCACCTGCCAGGATGTACAGGTACCTGAATCACAGTATATTACCTGCCAGGGTGTACAGATGTTACCTGAATCACAGTATATTACCTGCCAGGGTGTACAGGTACCTGAATCACAGTATATTACAGTACAATGTATTTGCCAATACACAACCATAGTCAAAGGACTGTTTACCATCAAGCACCTGCCAGGATGTACAAGTACCTGAATCACAGTATATTACAGTACAGGTACCTGAATCACAGTATATTACAGTACAGGTACCTGAATCACAGTATATTACAGTACAGGTACCTGAATCACAGTATATTACAGTACAATGTATTTGCCAATACACAACCGTAGTCAAAGGACTGTTAACCATCAAGCACCTGCCAGGGTGTACAGGTACCTGAATCACAGTATATTACAGTACAATGTATTTGCCAATACACAACCATAGTCAAAGGACTGTTAACCATCAAGCACCTGCCAGGATGTACAAGTACCTGAATCACAGTATATTACAGTACAGGTACCTGAATCACAGTATATTACAGTACAGGTACCTGAATCACAGTATAGTACAGTACAGGTACCTGAATCGCAGTATATTACAGTACAGGTACCTGAATCACAGTATATTACAGTACA